TGAAGTAAAATATATGTTCAGCAAACATTACAAATTAACTCAGTATAAGAACCTGATTAAGAGGAAAAACAGCTTCTCACACAAAAAAAAATTTGCATTAACTCCTAAATCTCCTGTTACAATGGACCCTAAAGCTCTTTCGAATTAAGTTCTAATACTCAACAGATCGTATTGCCAACAACTCTTGTTCTAGTTGCAATGGTATCTGGTGTAAACTAGAAATTCAAATGTAATATATGGAGATAGGTATTCAAAGCAAGCAAAATATATGTTCAACAAGCATTACAAAATAAAGCAGCAACTAGACCTACTTCATTAACAATATGGAAGTACCATGCAAATGGATAGCATAGCCAAATATGGATGAAATATATATTCGAAAATAAATTATAAATATTAAAAACAAACAAATTTTACTTTTATAAGGAAGCCAAGTTTTATTATTACTAATTCATTTGCTCTCGTGCTTTATTGTGAGATTTATTGATTACAAATTTTTTATAAGTAAATAGGTATAAGGTTTAATATACCAAAATAAAGTATAATTGATTTTTTTTTTTTTTTTTGCATATTGTCTTTTGTTTAGTTTTTTATTTTCTTATAATGGGCAACAACTTTAATATTATGATATATTATATACTTTAAAACAGGAACATGAACATACAATAAGAATGCAACACTATATAGACACGAATAAGATGATACAATAATATTTTTAAAAAAATAAAGATATGAATATGATAAGATATGATAATAAAAATATTTTTTTTATATATTTTTTTGTTAAAATACTTAATCTATATGTAAATATTAATTTTTTAATGTTTCATTTTTTTCAATTTAAAATGATATTTTATAATCTATAAAATATATTTAATTATATGATAAAAATTCATTTTTAAATACATAGAAGATATAAAATTATTTCAAAATGATGAATTAACAACATAGCTCAAACAACGAAACAATGTATTTAACCTTTTAGGAAGAAGTGCAAGTTACATTATTTTCTCAATTCTTTTATTTTTCTTTATTTTTTGGTATATAAAAAAAAGCCAAAAGTCATGTTTGGTCTATTTAAATATGCCCACTCCACCCATAAGGGACCCTCACAATCCCTTGTCTTTCATTTTTTTTTCCCCTTTTTTTTTCTTGCTTTTTTTTTTAAAAATTTTCCTGTTTTCTTTCTCTAGCTCCTATCGATTTTCGACGACTGCCTATGTCATCGTCATCCCAGATGCTGGTATTCTTTTAGCTCGAAAGTCACTTCTAATGGGTTAGAGTCACCTAATTGATGATCAGTTTAAAATTTTTTTTTTCAAACAAATGATTTCCATTTTAACATTTTATTCATTTCAACAAAAGCCGAACACCTCTTTAAAATATTTTTAGAAAATTTTGCAACATTTAAAACTTTAAAGAAATGAAATTTCTTTTTGAAGAACTTTCAACTATGATATGACATCCAGTTTCTACTAAGTTGATAAAGAAAAAACGTAAATAGGAGAAGTTGCTAGCTAGAACCCATAGAAAGGTTTCAATTAAATAACAAAAAAAAAAAAATTTAATAACTATGCAATTACCATGTAAATGGAAAATATCACATGCATTCAAACAAGTTCTACCAAGAAAAATATATGTTTTAAAATAAATTGTAAAACAAAAAGGAAAAGCATACATGAAGCCAGAAAAAGAGAGAAGGAATTACAGTTTCAAGAGCCTTAAGAGAAAATTTTTCTCACGATCGCCAATGAGTGTAGTTCAGACGAAGAGAAAATTGTGAAATACAGAATAAGTAAAGTCTCTGGCTTATAGAAGATTTGGATGGAGAAGGAAAGGAAGGAGGAGTTTTGGTGTTTGAAGACTTGGTTTGCGGTCTTTGCAAGTTAGTAAAAAGTTATAACAAAGTTTCAACAAATCAATAGGAAAGTATTATGGTAAAAATTAATAAAATTGAAATACAGTGGAAAAATTTAGTATTTAGTTTTTCTAGATTAATTAATTGATTATTTTTTTTAATTACACATATTTGATCTATATAATAAAATTTTTTAATCTATTGATTTGAATTTTTATTTAATTATTTTTAATAAAAAATTTCATAAATTATATTTAAATAATTTTATCTAAAATATTTCTTTAATTATCTTTGGAGTATTTTTTATAAGTTTAATTAGAAGTAATTAAAAATTGATTCGACTTAAAAAAAATTTATTCTATTAGCTCGAATCCAAATTCGTCTAATTTGATTTAATTTTAAAAAAAAATTCAACAATTTAAATTTAAATTGATTCGAATCCAAATTAAATCAAACTCAGCTTGATTTAAATCTGAATTGATTTGAACTATAATTGATCTAAATTCAAATTAATCCAAAAAAATTAACTTAAACTTGAAATGAATAATCTTAAATTTAAGGTTGAAACTAATTAAAATTGAAGGGCTTTTTATTTTCATCAAGAATATAGGGGAGGTATATTAAAATATATCGAAGAATTGATAACAAAAATCAATTGCCAGATGCACTAGTGGAACAATTTACTCTAATAGAAGAGAATTACCAATTAATGAGAAGGAATTATTGGAAAAAAAAATCAATTGAAGCTTTTGAATTATATATTGTGCATACAAAATATATTTATTATTAAAACTGATACTACTCAAGCTCTAAGTATTGGTTAGCTTCCCATATTGATCCAAGCAGGAAGGTATTACTTCCTTAGTAATGATTTTTAAGTTATATCAATCAAAGGTTCACCTAATATTCATGCATATTACAAAGAGTAATGCTGTAAATAAGTAAAATTATTCATAAATTATTTGAATTTAATTTGATTTATTTATCGAGTTGAATTTAAATTTAAACTATTTAAAAAATCATATCAAATTTAAATAATTTAATACTCGATTTGATAGATTAGAAAGGTTAATCAAATTTTTATATATATTTTAAAAATATATAAATAAACAATAAAATTTAATGTTTAATATTAATATATATGATTTTATTGATATTAATCAATTGAATTATGAATCCAACTCAAAAATAAAAAATAAAATTTGATCAAATTTCAATCAAATTTCGAAATTCAAATTATTGAATCAAATCAAATTCAAGTTTATTAACATTTCAGCTCAATTAGATTACATCATTAATCAACAAAGCAGCCAAATACTTGAAGTAATAATGGCAAACCTAGTATTGAAGAATACAATGGAAGAATCATGGCAAATTTAGCAACTCAGGTTGCAAAACTTATTGAGAAATTAAAATTCTGTCAAGGAAGAATTGCCCAACGAATTTAACAATTCCATGGGACTTCTATAATAGAACTAAAATTTACAGCAAATGATATTTCAACAATATATGTTGAAATTAAAGAATCCATTAAAATCTATGCAAAGGGCAGTGCAAACTGATGAGTCACCAAAAATAGGAGGCACCAAATGTCAAACTTTTGAAACAGAAAAGAGAACAGACATCTCAGCATGTCATCAACAGCAAGGAGGAAACAACTACAGTTGCTTTGATTTGTAAGGCAATATTTAATTATTTATGAGAATAGAAAGGGGGAGGTTGGGTAAAAGCTATTTGGAGAACCATTTATAATGACATCCAGGTGTGAAGATAAGAAAGAATCAATTATTTAAATATATGATGTAAGCAATGATGTTAAAAAATTAAACTTAAATTTTAATTTAATTAATTTTAAAATTATTTTTAAAAAATAATATTTAATGAATTTAAAGTTTAAATTTTGTAATTCTTTTTTTATTGTTTGTAACATTTAAGATCACTACATACTAATGATGCTCTTCACAAAGATGATGAGAATTGCTTAGGCTGTGTTTTCTAGAAAAATGGAAGAACGTTTGTTGCCATACAATTGCTATGAATTGACTTTGGTTTCATTGTCAAGGCTAAAGTAACGAGTGAAAATTTCCAAGTAGTTTCCTCGTCTCTTCCTGGCGAAGTCCTTGGCCATTGGCACACCAAGAATACCGATATTCCCCACTTTTTACGCTACTTGGGCTGCATTCGAAATTAATTGTAGCTGCGTTTATTATAAAAATCAAACTTAAAATTGGATTTTATCGTATTTTTATTTGATACAATTAAATTTATTTAATATAAAATTTTATAAAAATTATTTTAATTATAATATTTATTATTATTTTTAATTTTATTAAAATCAATCACATTATAATTTAAAATCAACTGACTTTGATAATAAAAAATTATGCATTTGAGTTACGTGAATGACACGACACAAATTTATCCTCACCGAGCTGAACTTTAAAGTTTGACTGCTGACATAAGTTGTTGTAGCCGGTCTTTTCAAATGTCTTTATTTTATTTTTGTTTTTCATTTGCTCTTGGGATTTTAATGGTACGGCATAACTATTTAGCCTATTATTGTCCTTTTTTATTTTTTATTTTGATTTTGATTTAAATTTTCTTTTACATTTCTTGCGAGTTCTATTTTTTCATTTTTTTTATTTTTTATTAACTAAAAACAATTATTATCTTCTAAACCATTATCAATTTATGTAAAAATATTATTATCAATTTTTAAAAAATCATTTTAAATTATTATCAATTTTATTAATTTTAATATTTATTAACAAAATTATTATTTGAAATAAAAATATTTTTAATAATTTTTAATAATTTATTAATTTTATAAATATTAAATAATTTCATAATTATAATATCTTATCTCATCATTACAATAATTAATTATGATATTTAATCTCATAATTAATCTCAACATCATTAATATTTAATAATTTCACGTCTACCTAAATAATCTTCATTAAAAAAAACTCTAAACTTTAACCTAAAACATAATGATAGTAAACGTTGTTTAATGGCATACAAATCATATTAATTCCGGAAGTGAAGAGGCCCACGGGTTTTAAATGTAATTTCGCATTCTAAATTTAATTATTGTGGATGACTAACAACAGATTTTTAAAATTCAAATTTTAATTAATTTTATTCAAGTTGTTCACGCAACTATGTTCATTTGATTCTTGATTACGTATTAAGAGGGGACGTCAAACAAATCAAATTCGAAGTATAATGAAATTTGGTATTGCTTTATGTTAAGAAGTCCAAGAAATACCAAAAATGGCTGTGCCTATGCCTCAAAGCAGCCAAGAAATTGAGACGTCACTTTCTCTTAACATGCCAAATTAAACAAATCAACCTCATAATAATTATTAATTTGATAAGCTGCTTCATAGACGTCTTTTAGGCCTTGACCACCACACAAGGCGCTTCTTTCAAAGAATGCGGCCAGAATGGTGAAAGCGCAACAACCTTCCCAATAATGATTAGTGTTGGTGATACTAACTCTGCCGTTTTGATTTTATCAGCAAGATCCTTCAGCTCTGCAAAGACCTGTATCATTACAAGAACAGCCATAATCAGTTGGCACCATCAAAACAAGATTTGAAATCCCATGGAAGGTAAGACTGTGATTTTATACAATTTTTATAAAAGAAAAAATTAATTAAATAAAATTTATACCAATAAATCTCATTGAAAGTAGACGGATTTAACAGATAACGTCCTTTGCCTTCAACAAATATAATATAATTTATTGGCATAAAATTTTTATATTCATCATGTCAATTCTAACGGGCGGTTTAGGATTATATTGAATTCTCACCAAATACTTCTACTAAATTACAATCATGCATTAATAACATTATCATGTGTTTGACATTGCAGATCTTACATAAAAAAAGGAATCATTCAACTGTCAATTGGAAATTAAACCATAGATAATCACTTTAATCTCAATGTTGTAAAGAAATAATGAACATTTCGGCTTTGCTTGATAGAGTGGATAGCAAAATGGAAAGATGGAAAATTAGGAGAGAAAAGTGAAAAGATGAAAAACACATTTTTCTCTTCCCATTGGTATGTATGGTAGAAAAGATGAAAAAGTGAAAAGAAAATTAATTTTCTTTTCCATCCATTACTTGGTAAAGTTGAAAAATGAAATTTATATTATTTACCATTATACCCTTTGCAAGTTAAGAAAAAAAAAGTAATATCTAAAAGAATGGTGGACAAACTTGTAAATATGTACAGTTGACTTACACCTCTTTCATTTTCCCTCTGACCCTTCCAATTTGAAATAATTTATTTTTGTGAATAAAGGTGGAAAATAATCATCTTTCTTATTTTCTTTACTCTCTTTTTTCACTCTTACCAAGCACACCCATGATTCATTTTCTTTTCACTTTTGCACCCTCCCCTATCCATCCTTCCACTTTTCCACTATACCAAGCACAACCTTAATTAAAAAGTTTGAAATAGAAATGTGATAATACATGCATGATATATAACATATAACGTATACTTACCATCTGTTGTTGAGGTGTGGTTCCTCGCTCAACTGCAGCAGCTGGTGTATCTGGTGGTAGACCATGATGTATCAACTTTAGAGCAAGAGAAGGGAGGGTTGATAAGCCCATATAAACCACTAAAGTTGAATCAGGGTCAGCAGCATTCTCTGCAACAAAGAGAGGATCTGTTCCCCCTTTTCTTGAGTGACCTGTGAGAAATCTAACACTATTTGCAACACCTCTATGGGTCAAAGGAATACCCAGCTCTGCTGCTATTCCTGAAGCAGCAGTAATACCTGTAAGGCAATAAGCATATTAGAGATGAAAGGCATTTCCGACACATTCAGTTCTATATTAGTAAGATTTTCAATTCTTCTTCAACATGAAACTTCTTTACTAAACAAGAATTGAGGACTATACCTTCAGTTCTATTTTAAAAGGTATACATTTAGTTCTATACCTTCAAGATTGAAGAAATTGTTTGTAAGTTTTAATTCTTTTGGGCATAGTGTCAAATGCATGTACCTACATTCCAGGAACTCAAAAAGATGCTATGCCCTATGCCCTATGCCCTATGCCCTATGAAAAAACGCTCCCCTTCATCATCCAAAATATTTCTTACCATTTGAAACTATTTTCAAACAAGCTAAGTAAGAATAATATGAATACAGGACATATGATCAACACACCTCTGCTTTACCCTTTATCTAAGCACTGTTATTTCAACACACAAAACACAATTCATCTCCTCTGTACTTTCCCGTTTGAGAAAATTTGAAAAGCTAATCAAGCATCATGTGATAAAAAAATCAGTTGAAAAAATAATATGTTAAGTCCATATCACATAAAACCAATAGACTTTCACAGTCGTTTCTCAAATTGAGGACATGAAATCAGAAGAGAAATGTTCACCAAAATGGTGTAGTTACAGCCTTTTATGGTCAGTGAGGGATGATTTAACCTTCTACATCATTCACCTCAAAGTCATTCGATATCCTCGAAACAAGGAAATTTAACCATGATAAATTGCTAATGCAACTTAAAGATTAGCTTACGGTATCATACCGGGGATAACCTTGACCTGAATCCCTTGCTGTTGCAGAAAGTCCATTTCTTCTCCACCCCTTCCGAATACCTGAAAAAATTCGCAACAATTGTTCCAGAAAATGCCCCAAAAGGAACTAGACTTGAAAAGGCATTTCTACTAATTTAAGGGAAAAAAATGTTGGTATCTGTTTGAATGACTCACCAGTGGATCCCCTCCTTTTAGTCTAACAACAGTAGCTCCAGCTCCAGCAAAACTCAAAAGCAACTCATGTATCTCTTCCTGGAACAACAACAACAACAGAAATCAATCTTTTCACAATTGTGAAACCGTAGGATTAAAACGAAATAAAGAAAACCAAGCCGCAACTAATAAATTGTATAAGAAAATCTGAGAAATCCAATACAAATAAACCATCCAGAAATTGAAAAAGTTTACCTGAGTTCGGCTATGATAGCCAGCAGTTTTGCCAACATAGAGAAGCCTAGCATCAGGGCCAACCAAGTCTAATACAGCATTAGAAACCAACCTATCGTACAACAAAAGATCAGCCATTTGTATGACTCTCACCGCTTTTAATGTCAAGAGCTCGGGATCTCCAGGTCCTGTCCCCACCAAGAAGACATTCCCTGGTCCAGTCCCGGGTTCTAGGGCCCCACAGCTCTCTCTCTTCTGTTTCAAAACCTGAAGCAGCCTCCTGAGCTCTGGCAGCTGCAAAGTGATGTCATTTAGCCTGATGGAGTCAGCATCAGGCGGGACGGAGCAAGACGCAGCATGGTCATCATTGTTAAGAGATTGCAGCCGGTGATTGTTGTTGTTATAGACCCAGTGGTCCCTTTGGTACCTCTGTAATGAGTGCTTCTCCGTGAATGGTGACGACGAAACACTAGAATTACACTGTAAACAACAAATGGTTGTAAATCCAAAGAATTGGGTTTCCTTAAATGCAAGGCAGGAGCAATAAAGAAGAAAAAAAGAAGCACCTCCGCTTTCTCGACAGCGCCATGTTCTTCAACAATCTTTGTGAGCTCGTCATTATTCACAGTTCTGGGAATGTTGTCAACGTCAAGCCCCCTGGCGGCTGAGGTTTGCTCTTCTGCCACAGCAAACAACCTTAATTTTTTTGGACGTGAAGTCAAGATGAGATTTTTAGGCAAATTGGGAAGTGGGTTTGTTGTTGATTGGCAGATTTGGATAAAGTGTTTCGTTTGACTTGGGAGATTTGGTGGTGATATTATATATGATTTTGAAGCCATTTTCTCTGCTAGGGATTTCAAGAAGGGTTTATCGCAGTATCCACGGCGGCGAGGTTTAGCGCCAGTACGGTGCAAAACAGCGAAACTCACCGCTCACCACCGCACGAGTATTTGGCCGTGCTGCAACTATCAATCGCCACCGGGTTCGGTCAAGAGCTAAAGGAAAACATGGAGTTTTAGAGCAATCATTCGGCCTAAAGACACTGGGGTTTAGTGTTTTTCTTTTTTTTTTTTTTAAATTCAAGGGGTTTTCTTAGAAGTTAATTAAATAAACAAAAATTAAAATAAATTATAATTTTGGTAATATAATTGACAAAATTAAATATAAATCCATTATTTAAATTTTGATCATATATGGATTAACAGTATATAATCTTAAATGACATAAATTTAAGTCCAGTGTTTTTTTTTTGTCAAAATATTTAATAAACATTTTTTTATAAATTTTATATTTTAAAATAAGACCACTTTATATCAAAATATTTTTATTTTATTTCTTTTTTTTTTGTTTTTTTAAGATTTTAAATTTATTTTTTCATGGGATCCGTTTAATAAAAGTTTGTTGTGCGTTCACCTTTTTCTATTATTTATTATTGTTTATATTTAATACATATTTTTAAGATTCCAAATTTTTTTCTCACAAATATCAATATTATGTCATATGTTAAATTATCTTTTTCTTTTTAATTTGTTTTATTATTATTTATTATTTATTTAAATATTTTTATATTTTTTATAATATTTTATTTTGACACTGATAGAATGAATATTTAATTATTTTATTTTCAAATAATATACATTGAGACAAGTTGAACTTTTTTAAAGAGAAATGAACTCATGTATGAAATATATTTAAATGCTTTGTCTTAAGTTATTTCGAAGTATATATAAGAAATTATATTTTATTATTTATTTGATTTTATACATATATATGTATTATATTAGTAAGATTATTTTTACTTTAATTTAATAAATTAATATTTTAAATTCAAAATTGAAGTGTCAATGTGATACCCTATGTGAATATTTTTTTCTCATTTTTAATTTTAAAAATATTTCTTTTTCTTTTTTTATTTTTTATTGGATAAATTTATAAGAAAAAAATGAGACTAATTAAAATATGCACTTGTCATTCCTGTTTGTTTTTTATCTTTCGTTTTTTCTAATTAGATCACTTTTAAAAATATATATATAAAGAATAAAGATGATAAAATAAAAAAATTTTACCCAAGGCAATCTGAGTATTTTTTGTAGTAAATGTATAATGTTAGTAAAATCAATTAATAAATACTATATAAGCAAGTTAAAATATAAAATTAAATTAGTATTAAGAATGGCTAAGGGCCAAGTCGAAATTAATTTTTACTTGTCCAGACCCCTTATTAATTACATCCAATTCCGCTATCAAAATATTATTTTTTTCATAATTGATCCATATATTTATAAACCATATCAACTAGACATGATTCAAAATTAATTTAATAATTTTAATTTAGTATAGTATTTATAAAATATTATTTTTAATATAAATTATATTTTAATTATATATAAACATAATTTTTTAAATTAAGTTAATATATTAAATTAAAATATTAAATAATAATTTTATTAATAAATATAAAAAATATATTTTTTATATATACCAAACTTAGGGTCGAAGTTATGTTACTTAAACTTGACTCTGAGATCTCATTTTTTTTAAAAAATTTAATATGCCTTCGACTCGATTTTTGATTTGTAGACTTCTATACGATGTATGAAAGTGAAAAAAAATTGAAATAAAATAACGCACTTAAACACTTTTTGCTCTTATATTTTATAAGATTAAGGTTTAGAATGATCCTTAAATTATAATAAAATATTTAATATGATATTTAAATTTTAAAAATTTTTAATATAATATTTGAAGTGTTATTTATTCGTCATGCATCATTTGAAGTTAATCATATTAAAAATAAATACTATATTAATTAAAAATAAATTTTTACTTCATCACTTTGAAAAAAAAAAAAAACAGCTAAGTTAATAGATTATATAAAGGTACATTTGACTGACATATTTTAAATTTTAAAAAATTTTGAAATGTTAGCATTTTGAAATATATTAATTCAAAATAATAGAATTTATAGTTTATTGTTTGGATAATTATCTTTTAGAAAAGAATATTAGGATTCTTTAACTCTAATACTTGCATTTTTCTTTATCTGTGGTCTTATTAGGCTCTTGTAGATATTATTTTTAAAAAAAAAAAATTTTAAATCCCTTATCGCTTAAGATTCATTTCATGAATTTTGGTTCCATGAACTCATATCACTTAAAAGTTACAACGAAATTTTGATTTGGCTTAACAAAGTCAGTAAATTGTAATAAATAGATAAATTTTTTATTCTTAAATATTTCAATTGATTAAATTTGATTTTTTTATTAATAAATCTGATTTTAATTTGTATTTTCTCATCAAAATTCTGTGATCATTTTTAAAAAAGCAATTTTATGAACTCTTAACCACAAACACGGTGGACATTGACCTTATCATAAAATACACAGGTGAACTATATATAGTTTAACCTTGCATGCATCAAATCGGACATTAATCTTCGTAGCCACAAGACAAAGAGCATTTCTTTTGTGCATAGTGTGGCACCAGGCATAACATCAAAGTCTAAGTCATCCTTGTTCATCCCAACTGGCATTGTCCCAATCAATTTGCAAAGATTAGCAAGGGATCGCCGGCAAGCTCTCCACATATATATTCCAGGACAACCCTTCTTTCAGCACTAAATGCTATGAGCTCAAAGTATAGTCCTTTCTAGTGAATGAAGCAGCCAATGAATCTCTCGGGATGGATATGTAACTCTGCAGGTTTTCCAATCTCTTCTTATTGCCCATGCATTCACAAAAACTAGTTCTTTGTGGCAGGTATTTCATGCCCTCCTTTACTGCATTTCCTGATTGTTTCTTGTGGCACTAATAATGGAACTGTAGGTTGCAATCTGAATGTTTTTATCACAGCTTTTTTTTTTTTTCAAAGTTGATTGTATCAGGAAAAGAGATTGTAAGTGTTGAGATTTGAACCCTAAATCTATTGAATATCATCTTCATTTACAAAAACAAAAGAAAAAAAATGATCAGCATTGTAAAAAGGTCATTAGTTGACATAATGCAGAAGCAAACCTTGCAGGTCTCTCAATTTCATATGGATGTGAAACAAAGAGGATGAAATTGAATGAAAGAAAGAGAATGGAACAATCCCCATTGTTTTCTTTATTAATTGGCAAAATGTTTATTATTAGTCATAAGCTTGACATATTGAAATTGTTGTCTTAACCAACAGTAGGCATATTGGTAACATTGCCATTATTGTCAAGGACAAGGTAAACACGATTGCAGCAAAAATCAGGAAAGCCAACTCTTCCTGGTGTTATTATCTCCACAGTTACTTCAGGATTGTCCTTTTCAATTGTTGCTTTAGCTACTTGTCCATTCTTTCCCAGCAATTCAGGCCACGTGAACTTACGTCCTGCCAGAACAAAAAAAAAAAATTACGTTTCTCCAATGTTATTTTGTTAATTATAAAGACTAATACAACTTTTTGTTGAAATGAAAATTTTGCATGTCCAATTAATTAGAAAGAATAAGGGAAAATGAGAAGATAAAACATACCATGAGAGCAGCAAATAGGATCAGTGCAAGAACCGCTTGCGCAGGGTGGATAACGAGGCCAGGTGCCTTGAGACATGTTTCTCTTTGTTATGTTTAGATTCAATAATTTGCTCTCTTATACATAAATTTCCCTATTTATTCAAAAACGGTAAGATACAAATTTATAGAAAGAAATCTAACTATTTTCTTGTAAAATAGAAAAAAAAAAAAACCTTCTTTGGAAAATGCTTAAATTTTACATACATCCAACAATTTCAAGGTAATTTCAACCAACAATTTGAATATATATGTTAATTAACTTATTTTGAATATGAAATTTTTATAATCTAAAAAATTTAGGAATGAAATTCAAATAAATTTCTTTCCTTTATTGCTAGATACACAAAATATATAGGAATGCATGGCTGTTTATATCATTATTTTATCCTCAATACTAATTATATGACGATCTAAAGATTATAAAAAAAAAAGGGGGGGAATTCAGGTCTGATATTGTATTACTAGGTGTTTGATATTTCTCTCTTCTAGACCAAACTACAAACAAGAAATAAGTTCAAAGATTAATAATTTTAGGTTCCAAGATAAGATTGTTTTTTATTATCATAAGCAAACCTGACTATGATTCTTACAGACAGGATTAAAACTACACTAGACAGTCGAAACGCCTTATTATTACATGGTAAACTAAGAACCTTCTCATAATTTCACCCTTCAAAAGGTTTGAAGCAAAAACAGAGGATGGACTCAGTTTTGAAGATGGGATTTGTAGATACTTTGGCCAGAGGTAGCTGCAGTTACAGGACACAACCTAATAGAGAATGAGTATGGCACAGCCGGAATCAGATACTTTTCATGTACACAGGGTGTCCAGCTATCGTCCCCGCCAATACCCATGTGCTTGTGGTCAAGATGCACCTGCAAAACAAAAAAAAAATAACATGACAAGGTCATATTTCTTGATAGATGGGTGAAGGAATGAGATTCAAGTGAAGATTTTATATAAAACTAAATAAGTAACTGGCAGCAAATATACGAGTATCGATGAAAAAGATATCCGAAAATCTAAGCCTTACAAAACCTTCAATTTATTGCAAATTTAGCATGTGTGTATATGGATGTAAGTATACAAAAATGGATATGGTCCTACGTGGCAAAGAATCCTATTTACTGGTACTCAGAATATGATTTGTAATAGTATAGTTTGCAGTGGTGCAATATAATCTATGTTGCTGACTCTAACTAGCCAGAAAAGGGTTAGATTCTCAAAATTAGACTGCTTCAATAGAGAAAGGGGGATTGAGATCGAATATGTTTATTTCTCGAAGGAGTTTTCTGAACTGCTTTTAAACATTTGTTCTTAGTACTCTTTACCATATCATTTTCCGAATGACCTTGCTTTCTTTATAGAAATAACTCTTGTTAATAGATATGCATCATGTACAGAATTGATCTAATCAAATAGAAAGCACAGAACATTTTATTGCATCACGTGTGCCCACACGCACACACACACAGATATCTCTTACACCTTAAAAGATATCAACTGGTGTCTGGTATAAGTTTGTTTAACCTAAAATCAGAGAAAGACAAATTACCTCAATGTAATCCCCTTTGATAAGTTCTTCATTGCGTGTTGCTCGGTCAAGCTCTGCTGTGCTGTAATAACTAGCATTCATTTGCATAGGTGGAGATATGCCATAAGTTGAAGCATAAATTCCATAGCCATCCTTGTTTTGAAATGTCACCCACCTGACATCTGCCCTACCCCCAGATTCCCCAGGAACAATATAAGGAACATGCATGCCATCTACCGTCTGCTCATAAACCCCAACATGTGCTGCAGCTTTTCGATCAGGATAGCACTCAAATGGCCCTCTTCCATACCATCTCACCTGGTCCACTGATTTTTCCAGGTGGAATTCAACTCCAACGCGTGGTAAAGGAGGAAGATTAGAAATTGGTTTTACAACGGAGTCCATAATGATGTCACCAGAAGAATGGATCGTGTAAAGCAAGTCCATTTTGATTAAAGCATCTGCTTTTGCCAACTCAGTTAAAGTACCATTCTCACCCTTATGGATGCCAAGGTAAACAACCAATATTTTCACAAGATGCTCAGTCTTATTTTGTATAGTACAGCTTTCTGTAAGAAAAACTATGTCATCCATATCGGCAGCTTTCCAACTAGAGTAATAACTACTCAGACCTCCCCCTTTGTCATTGTCTGTCGGTGCTCGCCAAAAGCATGGAAATACACCATTTTTCATTATAGGGACACCTTCAACCTGCAATTTACCACCAATTGTTTAGAAATTAGAACTTGCAACATTGTTTTACAGTGCCTTAGTTTGCAACAAAATTTTAAAGATATAAGGTAATTAAGAGAGAGAAACAGGAAAAACCTATAAAGTTTTGAAACAGATTTCAAATAAGGATCAAAAGTCCCCAAAAAATTTTCACTTCAAACCTATAAAGTTTGTGTGCACCGAGGGATTTGCACTCAAGACGAACTTGACTAAAACCCTCTCCCCTTGCCATCATCAGACCAAATAAAATACCACACATAGTCAGCAACCAAAATAGAGGAAATCCAAAATCCTTAGCAAACAACCATTATGATCTCTAATTAAAGCTTCTGTCCCAGAAGGACCTGGATTGCACTTGGCATTGGTTTTATGACACGAACTGCAACTTCTAGAATATGCAGCCTTTACTCCAAAGTTTTATATTACTAACTGAAAATTTAAGGTCTTCGGTTCTTAAACCAAAAACCTAAAAGCATTTACAAGGAGAAAGACAGCAAAATATTTTGATTTACAAGATACAAAGCTGGGCTTGCTTTATTGCCTTCTTTCTGCCACTTTAGGAAACAAGCAAACATAAAAATAAAATGGGCAGCATAAGAAAGGCCATAGGCTTAGATTACCTTCCAGCCGTCAAGACTTCCAGTTTTCATATTCAATGTAATCTCCCATAACTTCTGCTGGCTAATTCTGATATTATCCCCAAGAATTTCAGCAGAAAGGACATCATCTTTTGTTTTGATTATCTGAAGAACTCAAAAGCATAATATTTAGCTGATTCAGAATAAACAAACCAGAAAAAAGGAGTGGAAGAGAACTTACATGAGGCAGCGTATCTCTCTTGGCAGGCAACTGGACTTGTGTAGATGAAACAACATGACCAGCTTCTACCCACCGTTTAGAGTGCAAAAGCTTAGCAGTGATTGTTAAAAATATTTCTTCAGCATCAGAGGAAACCCATAAAGGATACCATGGACCAGACTTCCATTCTATCTCATAGCTGCCCTGGGGTTCTATCACAGGAAGGGATAGAATTCCACATCCAAGTTCACACCCATCCCCATGAGCAGCCCATTTGAACTCCATTCCTTCTGTTGTCTCATAAAAATTAGTGTTCTTTATCTGCTAAGATCAATTTTGACTAGATGTTAAAAACAGACCACTTGAAGAGCATGCAGAAACTGGAAAAAAATTAAAATATGAAGTACCTTGATCATGGTTTCTGTAAGAGAAACTTTGATTGGTTGATAGACATACTTAACCTCTGCAAACAATAATTGAGCCTATAAGTGGTCATGCAATTGGACAATTAAAATACAGATGTATCCTAACGAGTAAAGTGCTTCAGTGCAATAGAAATATGAAATTCAAATAGGATACCATGTAAGGCAGGGTGAGGAGTTCGGTCTGGCCATGTAAGACCATTCAAGCAAAAGTTTAAATCATTGGGAGAATCCCCAAAGTCACCACCATATGCCCAATATTTACTACCATTGTCATTGGCCTTCAATAGGCCCTATAAGCACAATGCAAAATATTAGTCATTCCAAACATAAAAAAATCGGTGAAAGAAATGGACAAAAAAGGACAACAGATTGAATGGGAGCAAAAGAAACAATTTCAGTATCAGAGGAGCCAGTATCAGTTGGCCAAATGGAACTGGCCCCTAGCATAGTCCTAGGTGCTTTAAAGATACATGGGTTCAGATCCTATGGGATTTATCATAAGTCATAATATTGCCACTGAAAAATAACTAAAAACAAAATTTAGAAGCAGAAGGATGAAATACTTGAGAGGAAATAGGTAAAAACTAACAGGGGAAGTATATTGGAGAAAAGCTTCATAGGAAACAAAAATTGTCTCAAAAAAAAATTTCCTATATTTATCTGATTAAATGGCATCTAACTCTAACTTGGTGATGAAGTTCCTGTTTTATTTACTTGTAGCTGCACACAAACTTGGTAATTTGATGCTGGAAATTTTCAGAAGATAAATGTCTATATTGACCACCAATGCTCCTACTTATCACAGAAAAAGTCAAAGTATGAAACAAATGGCATCGAGAATGGGCATATTATCAATAACAAACAATAACTTTTTTTTCAAAAAGAAAAGATAGTTTAAAAGCGTCATGTCATTCCAATAAGGCTAAAAAGATATTTTTGAAGTAATAAATATATTTTATGGGAGGATTTCTTTTTCTCAGAATCTTAGCTTAATTCAGTGAACAACATATAAAGAGAAACAAACAAACAAAAAAAAAAGTTTTGTCCACTCAAAACCCTCATTCAATTTCCCTCGACAACAAAGCAGAGATAAGGAGAGTATATGAATAGAAAAGGAGAGAAGAACAATACACAGAGAGGGAAAAAGAGTGTCAGAGCGAGAGAGAGAGAGAGGGGGGGAGAAGAAAATAATTGTCGATAATAAGAGAGAGACAGAGATGCAGAAAAGAAAAGAGACAAAAGCCATATTCATCCCCAACAGTTTTTGCCAAGAAGTAAATCCCATTTTATGATATAAGCATAAGATGCATATATTAGAGTTAGCAATGCCTTTATCGCTTAAGTCCACGTACTTTTATTGTAAGTTGAGTAATTGTTTTACATTTTATGGAACCAATGACTGAAACGGACACTATTTGGTGAAATTAATTTTGGCATGACATATGATTCTTTACATTCCTAAAGGTCCTTAAAAGAGGATTCTCAACCTGGTCAACCCACTCCCATATAAAGCCACCTTGGAGGCCAAATATGTTATCAATTGCTTCCCAATATTCATGTATATTTCCATTGCTGTTTCCCATTGAATGTGAATACCTGATATTATTGCAAAGATGACCTTGAATTAATATAATGGCATGGCTGTGACAATAAATTACTGCAGGTCAAAGTGTTATTATAAAAATAAAAGGAAAAGAATAAAGATGTAAAGAAATGTGTTAATATCAAGGAGATGAAAATCACATACTCGCACAAAATCAAAGGACGTGTTTCATTTGGATCTTTTGCAATCTTCACTATGTCCCAGATGCGCATATACATTGGGCATACAATATCGGTAGATGGGGTTCTAGATCCACCACCTTCATAATGTACTAGTCGTGAAGGATCCCTCCCACGAATCCATCCTAAATAAAGTCTCCACATCAATAAGTGACAAGAGAAGAAATAACATAAAAGGAGAAACATAAAGCATATTCCTGAGGTACGGTTAACAATATAAGTAAAAGCTGTTGTATGAGGGGAACAATGGGAAACCTGATTGTACTTTGATTTTGACGAAATGACTCTAATTCTGGCATGAGCAAAGGTATGCAAAGAAAAAGATATTTTTTGAAACAAGGAAGCAGTCAAATTCTGAAAGTTAAAGGTATCTCTACCCGCAATATGATAACAGTGGCAGTCAAGGGAAGAGAAAAAGAACTAATTGTGGAAGTTTAAAAATCAAAAGTAGTCTACAAGCACCTAAGCTTTTTAAAAAAGCTTAGACTATTTTCTAGTAAATGTTTCATTACCAGAGATACTTGGAAAGTCCTGATAAGAGAGTCAGAAGCAGAAAAAACTCATAATAGTTGCTGGCAGAAACACAACATTTAATGGTAAGTAAATAGTAGAATGCAGTACCAGCTGAAGCAGAATGATTAGGTCCATATCCAGATTCATTTCCTAAGGACCAAGAAAAAATGCAGGCATGGTTTTTGTCCCTTTCCACCATGCCTATAACACGGTCCATCATTGCGGCAGCCCAACTAGGTTCCTGAGTTGGATGCTTCAGATGTCCAGAAAGATCAAAACCATGTGTTTCAATATTGGCTTCATCAATCATATACATACCGAACAGGTCACACAACTCATACCAACGGGGATGTTGGGGATAGTGGCTGTTTCTCACAGCATTGATATTGTTTTGCTTCATTACAACCAAATCCTGAAAGAAAAAAAAAATGAATGAATATGTATTCCAAGGGTCCAATTCAGCCATCAATGTAAGCTGCAACAACTTTGCAGTAAGAGATAACAGTTGACAAAGACAGATGTCATTACCTTAACCATGCAAGATTCTATGTTTGTCTTCCCCAAACGTGGATGATGCTCATGCCTGTTCACACCTCTTATTACAACTGGATGCCCATTAAAAAGTAGCTGCTTTGGGGCTTTTGATACTTGTCTTATACCAACTAGGCATGATTCACAGTCAACTATGTTGCCAGATGCATCCTTAAGTATGATAACCAGAGTGTATAGATTTGGCTGCAGGAAATGGCAACAAGCAAGCAATAAGCAATTTGCATTAAAACGGATAGATTATAACGTATAACTAGTGTTATCTCAGCAAAATAAGAGTAAATAATGATATTGAATCCCCATGAGGCATAAGAAAGCATTTAAACAAACAAACATATAAGTAGCATTAAAAGCACAGCCCATTTCTATGGACTTGAACCCCAACCTTTCCAGCTGCCACTGAAAAAAAGGAGAACAAAGAAGTGGAGAATCCTAGAGGATCTAGACTAGAATGGCAGATAAAAAAAGGGGGGAGGATGAAGGTGCACTTTAAGTTTCTGAATATATATATATGATAATATAAATTTTAAATAAACTTGAATTGACTGAGGATCTTACCTGTTCAGCAGACCATAGCTTGGGCTTTTCCAGTTTCCCCACCAGCATATAACCATGAAAACCTAGAGTTCCAGTGGGGAAGGGCTTGAGCCTTATGTTAGCCACGTTTGATGAAAGTAGATCAATGTTTCCATCATGGTTGTACCAGCTCCCAGCATCATATAATGCAGCTTCTATGATAAAGTTCGTAAGCACTTTATCTTTAGATGTTTCTCTTGAGCAATCTATTTTCACTTCAACCTGAATAACGTTTATATTTGATGCAATATATTACAACTTTTAGTATATAACAATTGTTTATAGGAGAAAAGTTCTAATGCACCTGAAACAAAAGAAAATAAGATGTAATAAGCTAATGAAATCAACAATTGTTACTGCTTAGGGTTTTATCTTAGTAATTATTTAACTGCTTATGACTTAGTGATTGCATTAAGCACAACTTCATAAATAATGATAAAAAATTTACCACTCTTCTTAGAATCAAAATTTCCTATCCTGTGTTAGAATGAAGTGGAAAGCATTTTGAAATTTTGCAGTTTATGCATTGGCTCCTTGTTCTTCCTACTTGATCCAACATCAGCAACATAGCTCCATTCTAGTGTCAAAAGGACCATATTTTGCTAAATCATTGGGTACAAAATGAAGAATTTAAAATGAAGCTCTGTAAGAATGCAGCTATGGCAGTTCAATGAATTAGAATCTTCTGCAGGTTTGAAAGTCTTCTTTAACATTCCTATCTGCAGCATTCTCAAACACACTAGTTAGCCCATTGATCCCCGTCCAATTTAATTAAAGGAATGTAAGAATAAGTGAGGAGAACTAGAATATGGGGAGGAGAAAAACGCTTCCATGGCACCTCAAATCAAAATGCAAGACCAAAAACAAGTCCTAAGAATTAATATATAATAACAAATCTCTGAAGAACAATAACTCAATCATTAAGTTGCAGTGAAGTATTTTGACAAGCCTTATAAGAACTAAACCGTTTCAGCATCAAATATATCACGATTCCATTTGAGGATATTATCTAGAAAGTGCCACCCAGATTTAGAACTCATTGCTACACTTCAGCTTATTATACCATGTGTCCAAAGGCAATAAGTTGTCACATCTATGAACAGCAAGTGGCAAATATGATCTATCAGTAAAATCAATCAACTTGTATCAGCACACAAATCCATAAAACTGATAAACTCAATTTGAGATGCACATACAAATAACAAATATGATCACAGATGAACATAACTAGATCAAGTTCTTTATCCAACTGAAAACAACATAGTTTGAACTCAAGGCACGTATAATTTTTGCAATTAATACTCTTAAAAATGCTTGGGATACTCTTGCAGTAAGTAAATGCTACCTCTATATCTGCATAGGAAAAATTGCCAGCCAAGTTTGATTTAAAAAAGTAATCCGCAATGAAGACCTGCATAAAAATTATTTTGGTTTATTTTAAAATGAGACAAAGTTATATGATACCAAAAGGAAGAGGGGAAAAAAAAAAAGAAAAAGAGATATCTAAGTATAAATCTACAAGATCAGGACTTAATTTTTTTACTTTGTCACAAATATTTGGCACGAGGTTCTAAAAATTTTTATTCCATAGGCAGTCTATTGTAGTATGGAATGGATATGATCTAAAAATGATATAGAATTGCTTGCATATATTCATCACAAGACAAAATTGGAAAAAAGTGAACTTTGACACAAGGCAAAAGAGGCATAAGCCTTTCTACCCAATAAGTTGTAGTCTCCTTCCAACAAGTTCAAAGTTGTTGCAGTTCACTCAAATCATCTAATCAATCCTACTAGTTATTACTCATTGCACTCAGTATGTTACAAACTTGTGAATTATTAAGTCAACCAAGTTCATAATAAAAAGCACAAGATGATCCTTGCAAATTGTAACAACTAAGTAGGCCACCAAAGGAATTCTGTACCAAAATTAATGGATGGTACTGGCAATAGTTGGCCAATTTTTATGTAATTCATTTTTCACATTGGGTATTGTCTGGAAAAGAAACCTTTTCGTGTGTTATTTTGGATGGGAAAACCTTTATGAGAACTTTTGATGTTTCTTCCAGAATATATTAGCACTTAAAATAAAGTTATAACAGGTAAAATAAATAAGCACCAACTGAAACAAGTGACGCTGCAGACCAACATGATTACCCACGCATGATAAGCACCATAACACAGACAACTTGATTTTCATATGGCGGATATCATTAGACACTTTGTAAATCAGACATTAATTAACAAAAACCTAAGACATATTTTTACAAGTTCATATATTGCAAAGCAGTATTCAACATGCTGTTGATCACAGTCACCTAATTCAAACTCTTAAATCAGCAAATTTCACACAACTCCAGCCATCATAACTAAACTTTCCTCTTAAGAAAACTATTTAAATGATTTGCCTTTTTTTTTTCATTTTTCACATAATGACCTAAGTCATATGACAAATCTAACCCAGCTTTTATCATTTGTCTGCCCAAAGGACCAATCAACAAGAAGTTGACAAAAGGCTAAAGTACTCCAGCCTCCAAAAGAAAAAAATTGACAAAACTTTCCCAAGACAAGAAACTGCCTAAGTAAACTCCTATTGCCTCCTAGAGATTTCCTTGCAAGTTTCATGGTCATGAGTGCACAAAAACTTCAAACCTATAATCTAATATGCAATCAATTTTCCTGAGATATTCTTGTTATCTAATTTAGTCTATATTCCTCAAATAGGGATATAATTTCAAGAACATCCTTATCAACCGAGAAAATAGAAGCAATTCATGTTAAAAAAGACAAAAAAAGAAAGATGCAAGAAGAACGGATTTAAAGTATGGTGTCTGTGCAAATAGTTTTATACGCATATAAAGCCTCCGGTGCTTCTCTGCAACATCTACCATCCAATAACTTACCTAACAGTGAAAAAGTAACAATAGTAACAAAGATGATGAGAATATACCTGTGGCTTAGAAAGGAGAAGTACATCTCGATGAATACCAGATAACCACCAATGATCTTGGTCTTCAAGGTAAGATCCATCACTCCACCTAAATACTTGAACAGCTAGAACATTCTTCTTGTCCGAATCACATGAATAGCAATAATCTGTTACTTCGAACTCAGCGGGCAATCTACTATCCTGACTGGCCTAACACAATGGAAAAGAATTAGATAATAGGCACAACAAAGGATACCAAATCAAAGGCTCTCATAAAGGTTATGATGTGGAGCGGCTGCTCATTTATGCAAGATAAACTGTCAAGAGATTATTTTGAAATTATATTTGGAAGCTGCTTCAGATGATATTCCTGTATGAATAAAACAATGCTCTCTGACAAGCTTGTGTGTGTGAATCTGTGTATGGTTTCTTTCTTTTTTTTCTTTCCGCAATTGATTTCTATAGATGTTCATAGTCCAATGACACCATGAAATTCTAACATATAATTCAAGATTTTTCATCCTTTCTCCTAAAGAAAGGCTTCAATTTAGGAGCAACTAATTTCTACCAACAATATTCATATAAAGTGAAATTGAGGATAGAAAATGGTTGAGATTAAATTTTCTCAAATATGTATTTTGGGTAAGCTATTAATGAATTAAAATATTTATGGTTGATTCATGGCCAAGTCCCATGAAATTGTATCCGACCCATAGATTGAGAATGGTGTCACTAAATTCTAACTTCTAAGGAAAAGTACCTATTCCACGTCGTTACTTTAACAAGAAATATCTTAATTCATTCATAAAAGAACACGTCTCCCATTTCTCAATTCCCCATCATCTCTCGAATTCAAAAGATTAAAAGTGCCTGAACTCAATTGACAACATTTCTATATATGAGAAAACTTTCATGAAATAAATAAAATACTACAGCAAGTATGACGCATTATATACCTGTATCCAATGGGGACCCCATTTATCCATGCACAGAAGGCAGAATCAACCGCTTCAAAGTGCAACAAAATCCTGCGACCTGCAAAATATTAAATACTATTTTATCATAAGTTTGTTATTGTAGAATTTGCAGCAACAGAGCATATAAAACACAATAAGCAATAGTAATTCAGGATATGAAGAAAAGATTAGAGGATAAAAATACTATGAAGAGGTATATGAATTCGCATATGTTGCCTTAATAGTCTCAGACTTGTATTACTGGAGGATGTGCACATGCATTTATTAACACTTTACACATATAGAGAAAATCCCCAAAAATGATCACTGAGAATATGCCTTGTAACACATAATCGGATTTCCCATGCGACTGAATTGGAACTGTAGCAACCAATAAATTAATTGTACAATTTGAAATGTGCAAAGAATATTTTTCTTGATTGAAAATTCAATAACTAGCACAAAACACAAGCTCAGGAATGACCCAGAAAGTGTATGCACATATTTAGGAGGTGCAGCAAAAATCATTTATAAGTGGAAAAAGGAACTCAAACAAAATAAATAATAAACAGACATGTGGAAGTGAAAACAACTTCAACAGTTTCATTTAAAGCATACCAATGAAGTGAAAACAGATTTAAAGAAGAAAGTTACAACCAAAACGTATTAGCAGAATAAAAACCCTCTAAATTACAAACACATTCAAATAGATCATACCCTTCCATTCTTTAGGAATTTGAAAGTATGTCCTGTAGCAGCCTGTAGGGTTATCTGTAGGAACATGAGGAGGATCAAGCGGAATTGGATACACAATATTTGTGTAAATAGGCCGATCAAATCCATGCATTTGCCAATTGGAAGGAACTGTTTCAATTGCAAAAGATAAACTTCATTAGAGAATTTTGTTCAGGAAATGATGTGGAACTGAAGATATTTAAAAATCCAAAGACAATTTAGAATGAAGAAAAAACAATCAGGGTCCAGTACAACTGTGAAGCTCAAGAATAATAACAAATAAGAAGATAACAAAATAAAAGAAGTGGCAAATAACAAAATATCAATAAGCAATTCTTATCAAACAATGAACATCAAACTGCTTATCTAAACTCATAATTTGCCTATAGTTCATCCCTGACTGTGATGTCCATACAGGGCAGGCAATTTTGACAGGAGCCTAGGTGCTTGTGCCACCCAAACCTGACTGAGGTGGGTTTCTTTTTAAAAGGGATGACACATAACTAAAAATTGAAAAACAAAAGCAATGTAGGTAAAGTCCGAGTTAGCATGCCCAAGAAAAAAAAATTATACCATACACGTTAACATATCTTACCTGGCAAAGTTTCCCAATCAGAATCCTGAAATGCACTTTCATAAAAATTCTTTGGAACAGCAGCAGGATTGGGAGCCAGTAAAAATTTCCAATAACCAGACAAAGACTTGACAAAAGGCAAGCCTTTAACCCAAAAAGCAGCACTTCCAAGTGCACTCTGAACAGCATCATCGTTCCAAACAGCAGCGTTGGATACTGAAAGGTTCACTTTATTGCGTTCATACCAGTATCTAAGAGATCCTATCCATACAACAGTGAGTTTGGAATTCACAATTCAGAAGTTGAACGGGTGAACAAAACATACAGATCAAATCTCAGTTTATATGTCTATGGGAGCAACATTATTATCATAAGTAAATCAGATTCATAGAACAGCATATAAAGTTACACTTGGTAACTTTAACCATTAGAATGGATCAAGCCAACTCTCATGCAAGCAAAAACAAGGAGTTCACACAAAACTCAAGTTCCTTTGCAAACACTTGCTAACATTTCATAATAAAAAAATGAAAAATATATCTTAAGAAAAAAATAACTCAAACATACACGTATCGACTGTGATCACAACCAAGTTCTTAAACAGCACCATGTGAACTAACTTTGGCACTTATTACCTTGAATTGCGTAACTAAAGCAACTAAAAGAAAATAGACTCTTTATGAAAAGAAAATCTGAATATCAATAAAAAATATTCAAATCAATTGTCACTAAATTATAGTAAGTTACTCCCACAACCTTTTACTTGTACATCAAAATCAATGCAACCAAAAGTGTAAAATCAAAATGAAAAGCCAACACTTCAAAAAACAAAATAAAAACAATATTAATAATGATTAAGTACTAACTGTAAACTCAAACTAAACAAAACCCAGTAGAAAAAAGGACAACAAAAATCAATTCTTGGTCAAAAACAATGAAACAAAGTAAACCCAAGTAGCAATTTTTAATCTAAACATCAATCAATATAGTATTAGTAAAGAATGAATCTTGAACAGATACATAAAAATGCAAGAAACATCCAAAGCATAAAATCTGAGTGAAAATAGAAACTTCAAAAAAGACCATCAACAAAAAGGCAGATGTTAACGAAATATTAACTTTTAACTCAAACTGAACTAAACCCAGAAACAAAAAAATCCAACAAAAAAAAAATCAACACTTTGATCAAAGAAAAAAAAACAGTAAAGAATGAACCTTCAACAGAGTCATGGCAACGCAAAGTAACATGAGGATCTCTTTTTCTCCATTTAATAAAAGAGGGATCTTCCCACACTTTGTAACCGTTTTCTGATGGAAAAACAAGCTGTCCCACAATCAAAGATGCCATTTTTCACTTTTCAGCACACCCTAGAGAGTGAAGATTCCAATGAAATCAAAAAGTCGCGGAGAGAAGAGTTTTTTTTTTTTTCAAAATATTATCTGATCTGATGAGTTTTTGTGACGTGACATTGTTGTCGTCTTACGTTGTTATTTGCCACGTTCGTAACTAGCTTCGAAAATAACGGTGGTCTAAACCTGGCATCATTATCCTTCATTTAGTTTTGTTTTTTCTCTCTTCAAAAAAAAATATCAATTTTAAAATATATATATATATATTTATGAAAACTTACGTAGTAAAAATTTCAGAATATCTAAGAATTAAGATACAAAATGAAAGTTTATAATTCAATAATTTGACTTTAAATTTAAAAATAAAATAAATTTATCTCGGTTTGCTGTTAATTTTTATTCGTTTATCGAATATAAGATTTTTCCTCATAAATAAAAAAAATAACAATAGGAGGAAGATAAAAGAATTAAAGAAAAAATGTATTAATTCCTTAATTAACTTATAAATCTTTTGTTTATTCTTTCTTTTATATAAACTAATAAAAATATATAATTTGTTTGAATTTTTTTTTTTTCATATTTTAATTTAAAATTTAATCTGAACTTAATAAATATATTTAATATTTAAATTTAATATAAATTAAATAAAAAATGATCTTAATCAAATGAATACTATGATTTTTAATTAATTTTTGGTTTTTTTAATTTCTTTCTCACTCTTAAAATAAAATATAATCTTAACGAGAATTTAAATTAAATTTATAAATCATCTACTAAAACATTATCAACAATAAAAATCGAACATAAATCTTATATTATTTAAATAAAAATTTTAAATATTTTGAAATAAATTTATATATAAAATAATTATTTTTATTTTATAAAAATTTAAAATTTATATAAAAATTAATTAAAATATATAATTTAATTCAATTCAATTTTTTTTCTTTTCTTTCACATCTTAATTCATAATTTAATCCAAACTTAATAAATACATTTAACATCAAAATTTAATTTAAACCGAATAAAAAAATCAATTTTAATCAAACCAAATATTGCAATTTCTAATCAATTTTAAATTTTTCCAATTTTTTTCTCACATAGAATAAAGTTTAATCTTAATGAGAATTTAAATTAAATTTACAAATCATCCACTAAAAAATTATCAACAATATAAAACGAACATAAATCTTAAAAATGAATTATTAAACCTCGGCCATTTTCTATCCTTTTCAATCACTCATAATAACTCTTCTTTTGATTAACATTATCCAAGTGAAGGCAAATTGTGGTGGACTCACCGGACTATTAATGGCTTTTAGGATTGCAAAGCTGTGGGAGTACCCATCATTTGCTTCTGATACATGGAAACCCTTTTACGAGGGTCCTCACTCCGTAGTAATTGGCAGTGGTCACTTCTGCCTGAGGCAGGAAGATGTCAAATGCCATCCTTGTTCTTTTTTCTTTTCCTTCTGTCAAATCTAACTCAACCCTTTATCCAAACAGCAAAATTATTGGAGTACAGATATTCCATTAACATGTAGGGATCAAGGACATCTCTTTTCAGGGATATCCATGTTTCAGCACCAAACATGTGCACAGTTCAGTCCATCTCTAGGCATCAAAGGTAAGGAAACTAAACAGCAAGGTCATACCAATCAATTCATCAACACAATTAGATTAACTATTATATATTATATAATAGATATTGTAGTTTATAGCTAATTTTGTGTCCAGAATCATTGAAAACTGGAAGCGAACAATGGATTAGACATTAGAAGCATCCTCGAGAGAACTAAGAAACATCGATCTATTGCTGTCCATCTGTAAGAAATTAGCGGGCTGCCGTTAAACCACTATAACAAGGAAAAACATGAACTGCTCATGTGTGGAAAAAGAGGGCAGTTCATAATGGGATCTATGCAAGTAGAGTTGTTGAGGGGAATGAACACATTAACATCTGCTTAATATTTACAAATCAAAAGAAGCAGATGTCGGGAATGAATAAAGCATCTAAATAAACCTTTCTAAATAATATTAAAACCTCAAGAGACCGAAGCCGACTCCCTATTCTCTGCCTCACTATTCTCTGGAGCAACACTTGGCTCGCGGTTCCCTCCAGAACGAGGTTTTCTGAAATATTTAGCAATAAAAGCATCCGCCAAATCAGGATATTTCCCTTTGATGAAGTTGTCCAGACACTTGCGGTATGAGAAATCTTGTTTATGACCATCAGTTGAGACAACATAGAAGCACCTGCTATCTGGGAAATTTGTGTGCTTGTTTACCTGTTTCGCATCAAGTGCAGACACCCAAATAGTTATTCTATTTTCCTTTGACCGAAAAACATATAATTAAAATCCATATATACAATGTACCCACAAATATATTAATATGTATAACATTGCACAACATCAAGTAACCCATCAAAAAATAAGGCACCACAAAAATCAAGCATTCATATATAATATGTCCTGACAAATATATTAATAAGCACAAAATGAAAAACAATCATACAAAGTAGCCTATTCCAAAATCAAGTATCAAGAGTAAATTTCCAACCATTCTTATAAAAACTGAAAACACTGAGACTTGTCAAGCCAGGGAACTGTTTTTGAGAAAACATCACCCTAAGCTGATGATGCCTTCATCAGATATTATTCGCATACTTAAAGATGGCCCGAGAATTCTCATGCCATCACTAAACAGAGAAGTTGAACTCCAAAGAGAAGAAGTTTCAGTGTTAGGCGTCTTGGAGCATTGCAATAACTTATCTTATTATTTGTGAATTTGAAACATTGGGATATAAGGTTACATGTAAAAACACGAAAAATATGTGCCAGTAAGAAGGACCAATAGTGATGTAAGTAATTAAAGGAACTAAAAGCATAAAGCAAAGAAGATGTTTACATGGATGTCATCCACCACTTTGTGCAGGTCTAAATATAACTCTCCCTTTAATTTGTACTTAACAGGTCAAAAGCTCATAAATCACACATACTAAAGGACATGGCCTAAAATTCTTCCATGTATCAAAAAGGATAGGAATCTCAAACAAATGCAAACTAGACAAAATTTAGGTAACGAAGCATACCATGACATAATCAATACCAGCACCCATTTTTACAGCTTTGTCTGGATGGTGAGTAAAAACATTATCAAGTACAAACAACTGATCACCAGCTGACAGCGGATCCCCATCATTGTACCTTCACATAAGAATTTTCTATTGAGAAAACTGGGATAAGATGAAAACGTGCAGAGTGGAGCATAAACTATTGACAGCAGGGCTGGAGGATGGGAAAGTAGAAAGAATCATGTAGGCTAAGTGATTGGAAGTGTCTGCTCTGTAACATTTGCATCTAAAAGAACTTGCGCAAATCCTAATGCTTAAAAGAATCATGAAAAAATCTACAACTGGGTACCAAAAATTGTCCATGCAAATATCCCAGATCTTCAAAGTTGAATAGAGTATCTAATTAACCAGAATGTCCTGATTCATGATCCATGTCTACTGGAAGAGTACAAGTATCAATACAAAGAAATTGCTTCCTACTTGTGAGGCAATTAAAAACCTATATTGCCATGGAAATTGACAAGCAAATGTAAGGGTATCTAATTTAACAGAATTTCCTTACTCATGCAGATCCATGTCAACTGGACAGGGGAAAGGTAACAACATAAGGAAATTCCTTTCTACTTGTGAGGTAATTAAAAACCAATATTGTCATAGAAAATTAAGAGCAAAAGTTAGAAAATATTTACCCAGACTGGTGCATTATTTTTCTGATTGACTGCATTAGTGGCTCAACATCAGAGAGAATATCTTGCTCCTCAGAGGTAAACATGTCTAATCTTTGTCTTGTAGCAGTATACATTGCAGCCATACTGGAATCATCATTCATCACTCGAGCTGACTTCACAGGACGATTCTTCTTACTAGCATCTGATGCCCAACGACGTGAGCCCCTAGAATGTCCCCACTGATGCTGCTTTTCACTTTGAGTGCCATCCTCACCAAGGGGCATATCCCAACCACTTGAACTTGCTGGTTGATTTGACTCATTAAGGGAGCCCCAACCTTGTGAACAGTCTGGTGACTTTTGTTGGTCCCAAGAACTATTCATTATAGGTGACTCATCCTTAGTCCAGCCTGCAGAAGTTGAAGAAACCCAACCAGACGTCGACTGAAGTGGCTTTTCCTGAGTAGCTTTTTTATCCCAACCACAAGTCGATTGAACTGCCTTTTCCTCAATCACTTTGTTATTCCAACCAGATGTTGACTGCACTGGCTTTTCTTGACCTGATTTGTTATCCCATTCACTTTTCTCTCTCCCTTGGTCCAGGTGGGTATCATTTCCACTGAAGCCAGATTCATGAACTGCTACAATCTTCTGTCCCCAGGAAGTAGCATTATCCCAGCCACCCGATTTGGAAGATTCCTTGAAGGGTTTTTTAGGGATGGCATCTTGTGTGCCCCATTCACTTTCCGCTCTCCCTTGGTCCTGGTGGTTATCATTTCCACTGAAGCCAGATTCATGAACTGCTACAATCTTCTTTCCCCAAGAAGAAGCATTATCCCAGCCACTCAATTTGGAAGATTCGTTCAAGGTTTTAGGGATGGCATCTTGTGTTCCCCACGCATCACTAGCATCAGTTCTTTCAGATTCTTTGACCGTTGTTCCCCAACTAGTTCCAGCATCCCAACCATTGGACTTGAAGGTTTTCTCTTCAATAGGGAGAACATCTTGTGTATCAGACTTTTCCATTCCCCAACCCGACAATTCGGTTAAATCTTTCCTACAAGTTCCATCCACTTTAGGAGAGACAACATCTTGTGATTTAGATTTGATTGTCCCCCAATCACCCCACTCAGTTTGTTTCTTTGAACTGGTCACAGCTGCAGCAAAATTGTCACCATCCTCAGCCTTTTTATTCCATGCAGACAAAGCATCCCAACCAGCATCAGACCCCTTGTCTGAAGACACAACTTTTTCCCAATTTGACTCAGCTGGCTGATAGTCTAAATTATTCTCAAAATCAGCCGCATCCTCAAACACTGGCTTATCCAAACCAGTGTTATTGTCTGGAGACAAGCTCCAATCTGCGACTTCATCTATGTCCATCAAGTCATCAACTTCTTCACCTAGGCAAGCAGTGTCAGGATTGGTTCCACCAACACCACTGACCATGTGCAGAAAGTTGTAGACATCCATTCCACTCGTTTGATCAAATCCAACCTGGAAAAGAAAGGTGATAATGAGAATATGCTACACAAGAAAACGATGAAAACTGATAAGAGCTATGTTGCTTGGACTCACGTACGGGTATCATGTGCTGGTATGTACGTAAGCATCTGACATGCCAACTACATGAAATAGAACAAATGGGATACAGCTATAAAAGGTACGAAACGAGGACACAGGTCTAGGGATTCTTTGCCCAAATTAAAATATTAACATTGTTAATATTATTATGTCTAAAGAAAAATCCTAAAAGCAATCAACCTCCTTTCCGGTAAGAGTAGATGAATTGAGGCCCAAATGCCCTTATTGGCCCAAAGCATGCTTGAATAAATGAACCAAAATGGGACAGAGGAAAAGGAAAAAGAGATTGACGGTAACAAACCAAGATGGATGAGGAGAGAGGAACTGAGAAATGTCCAGAAACAAAGATGCCAATAGATCATCAAGCTTCTTCTCCCCATTTCTGTAATTGATTATAAATTGACCGTTTGTTGCGTGGCATGAATATCTAAAGTAATTGAAAGCTAAAAAGGTGAGGAAATGAAGAAGAGAACTCTGGTTAGGGCAACAATTAATTTGGGGGATTAAAATCTGCAGCCGAATTCAACACAGATCCCATACCCATGTCTGGATCAAGTCATGTTGACACTGATACTCCACCAAACATATCGAGTCCAAGCAACAGAGGATAAGAGTGAAGAATATCATTAGAAAAAATAACTTCGAATATGATATACCTCCTTCCGATCCCACAGGATGTCAAACCGTGACCCTGTTCCAACAGCCACATTTTTACCCCAAGAACAGGATGCAACTATGCTTGACAAAGAATCATCATAACATTTTTCAGCAGCTCTTTCAAAGCACTTTCTTGGTGTCTATGCAACCTCACAAGAATGGATTATTTAGAAAGGAACATTAGTTTATCAAATAAGGGAAATACTTGTAACTTTTCAATTTAGAAAAAATAACAAAATGGAATAGATTGCTTACAAACAGTGTTGCTTCAGTAAATGGCACTTGAATTTTCAATGAGCGAGATAATGCTTTATAACCACCAGAGTTGAAGCCAATCAAATTTCCAGCACATGTCATGCTGTTTGCTAAGAGCATGAGGTGTTCCTTTAGAACACCTCTTGACACCATTGACACTGAAATGGAGAGACGCTGCAAATTTGCCACATAAATTAAGCATTTTCAATGACATAGAGATCTATAAACTGAAACAATAAAACTCTACGACCATTTGTTATCATGGCAATCGATATAAGCTGCTATGTTCATCCATTAATAGTCAGCAAAAGTAGATTCTGCTATGGCAAATGCCCCTTGCAAAAAGTGCAAGACAAACAAGAAAAGTATGCACCTGAACTAACCCCTACCAATAACCCCTAATGTACACTTACTGTTGGGTCGAAATATACCTGTACTGCTTGTTCAAAAGCACAAGAAATGCCAAGCAATTCCTGAACTTGCTTCATCGCGTAAGGTATAGACCTCTGGGTGTCAATTAAATTTAGTACTGGAAGACAACAATCTATGACAGTCCTCCAGGCATCACCATTCTGCTTCACAGCAGATTTCTCCAGAACAACATCCAAAGCCAATTCTCCCTTCTGAGTCTTGCTAGGGTTTCTTATCCAAGTTGTTGTATCAGGGCTAACCCAGATAATATTTGCTGAACAGATACAGGCGTCACCTGTCCATTAAAGAATATCAAAACAGTAAATATCAAATTGCAAACACCCTGTCATAAGCAACCACCATAACCAGGTTTGATTACAAGCTAAATAAAATTGACAATTAGGAAGTATTCAAATCCAACAATCAGAAGATTTGGTACAGCAAACAACTTGAGAATTGAACAAAGTTGCAAATTAATGATACAACTATAATAATTTTGTGAATATCTATATGAGTTTTGTGGCCAATCCCTTTTTGGTCCATATACACTGCTTCCATATGCATTAAAGTCAAAGAAATTAAAATACTCAAAAAGTATGACTAGAGATTAGACGAGACTATATCTGCAGCCATTGAAGACCTTAACTCATTAACATAATTTCATATTAAAACTTAGGTTATTATATTATGAATTCTAAGTATTCTATTATACAGGAGAACCACAAATCAACATTTCTAAAATGACAAGGACAATGGTCAAGTTAGATTATTCTATTACTTTCAGTTTGTTTTCTTGCAATCTATTCTTAGTTTGATTGGTATGACATTTGCCACTCACTGTTTCACTCTCAAATTTAGCCATAACTAAGGTAAATAGCAATCATAGTAATCATATTTAATTAAAATGAGCAGAGGGGTGAAACATAAGACCCTATGCACCACCTCCCCAACAGTATACAAAAGATCTCAAAAATGGAAGAAAAAAAAATTCATCACCACAACAAAAACATTTCAAGCATGCTTGGAAATAACTATGATACCACTAATACTTAAGAAAATTCATCAAAGATAAACAAGTAAACCATATGTTTCCAGGGCTGCTAGATGTTACCTAAACCCAAAATAAATAGAATACAATATGGCTTCAGCAAGGCAGAAAGAAATTACACTAATTCTTTGGATTATGCAATCATGTAAACCCAACCCTACAAATTTTCATTATGCTTATATAACAAGCACTATTAGTTTGGAAAAGTATAGAATTCAATAATACCTTTCAATTTAGTCATAAAATGCAAATTAGTTTGCGATGCATTTCTATTCTTTCTAAAAGGCTTAACACCAATGAGTAATGAAATTTATCTTCTCTGCTAACTGGATATTAAATTAGTTGTATCTAAGATAAAAACCAAACGAATAGAACAGAAAACTTGGAAAAAGAAAGCCAATCACACATCACCTCAGCTTCTAAAAGTAAACTTCACCAATATGTAAACTACATGCATAAGAACATTTCAAATATCAAAAATCACAAAGTAGAATCTAAGGCAATACCCTTGATGACTGTTTCTAGAAGAACAGGGTAGATGATGTCAGCCAGGATTTGTATAGTACTATCTAGATGATCATCGATTGTATTTCGGCAAAAGAACATCAAGCATGGCATTTCAAACCACTTGTCCACAAAGGATTGCTGGATAGAACAAAATTCACTGCCAAGAGGTTCAAAAGAGTGGAGAATTTATGTACATTGCAAACAAAATTAGGTGGATCAAGAAATAGTAGAGATATTGAGTGATAAGAAATACAAACAAAACGGAAAGTAGTGACATCAGATAAAATAAAATAGATAAACAGGCAACACACACTAAAACCGAACAGCAAAGGGCCTCCCAAATTCTTTCAGGTGGCAACCTACATGATCAATTAGGTTCCTTCCAAACAAATGACCAATATCGGCAGGAATTCTTATCATGTAAATCTTTTACCAGTACTATGTTCCCATTACAAGTAGCATTGAATTTATTTATGTTTTATTGAAACTGTTTTTATAGAAAGAATAACAAAATCAACCTTTATTTTTTACATTTTTTACTTAAGGAAGAATCTTAAGGTGACTAACATGAAACAAGCACATTTTACAGTACAAGTGAAAACCATAACCAACAGTTTTGAAGTCATATCCTCCACTACAACCAAATAAAATCTTAAGCATGAGATTTCCTTTTATTTCTTTGGTAAAAGGGAGAGCATTACAGCTCAAACCTAGGATCTCTATCCATGTCTCAACCCAGCATTACCAATTGAGCTGAAGCCCAAGTGGTAAGAGGTTTCCAATTTACCTCCTAATGGAAAGAGGAGGCAATATTAGGACCCCAAAACAAGGGGAAGGTGCAGAGAAGTGGTAAAATGGGATTTTTTTTTTTCAGGACTCTTAACTAATAGCTGATTGTTGATAGTCGGCACTTAGTCCTATTTTGACATGAGTTCAGAAACTCAGAAGAATTTGCAGCTATTTCACATAGTGAACTACTGTGATTACCAACAAGTCATATACTGCCATACCATCAGTTAAGCTTGTACCAATATATGTTGCTTTTATAATCAGAGGAATTACAATAAATCTTAGCAAACTCCTAGCAGTAACCATTAGGACAGTAAAATACAGAAAATACATTTAGCACACCATAACAAGTTTAGGTGAAGAAACTAACCTTACAAACAAATCTGTCCTCCTAAAAGTTTCAGCAGTCTTTTTCTTCTTACGAAAGGAGTTAATGGTTTCTTGGCACTTCATATAAACCTCTTGCATACTAATATTTAACTCCTTCAATAGAGCCTGTTTTTCACCACTTCCAAAATGAGATATCTTAAAAGAAGCAACAAGGACACAGTTTGAAGCTTTAAATATATACCAAAAGATACAATAATGTTAGACTAAGTATAGTAACCTTATCGAGGAGGATGTGACCAACAAGGCCTGCCTCAATTTCTGATACAGATTGCTGCTGCCTGTATCTGTATGCAATGACCTAAAGTTAGGACTTATAGTACTGCAATACTGAAGCACAACAGTAATCATATACATCCCCTTTTCAACAAACAACATATGGGGGGAAAAAAAAGAAAATGAAACCCCAGAAAGTGATTATGTGATTAAACATACTCGATGATGAACTCTATTGCAGTATCTTTGAGTTTGACTTTTCTCAATTGATTCTTAACAAGATATGCTGCATTTTCTTGGCAATACTTTCTCCCACAATCACAATCTTTCAAATACAGGATCACTCGTCGGTCAATCAGGTCATTCTTGAAACTGGCTTTGCAAAGCAATATTTCCTGACAATAAGAAAATCACTATCAGTAATGGTAAGAGCTATACAGAAAAGACATGCTTAAGCACTACCTAACCATTTCATTCTACACAAGCCATAATGAACTGACAGAGAGTACCTTCATAAGTTCCCAAGAAGAATTACTACTAGGAGTTGAATCAAGAACTGCTTTATATGCTGGATTTGACATTGCAGTAGCAGCTAAGACACCGACAGGTTCACCAGCAGGGAATTGTGGTCTAGTTCTGGCACTCAACCCATATTGAAATTGAATTATTGAATTGCTACTGATGTTTCTAACCGTGCCATCATAACAAATAACAACATCACGAAGGATGGCCATCAAATTCTTAAACAAGGTCCCAGGTTCAGACAATCCTCTTGTGGAGCGAACCATGACTTCTCTAGTAGAGATTGAATGAACCAAGCCCTCATACGGATCCAGCCCACGGAAAAAGCAACTCTTAATTAGTCCAAACTCAGCAGAAGGATAATCGACACCATCAGAAGGATATATGCTTTGAAATTGGTATGCTACATCTTCAACCAAAGTCTTTGAGTAGAATTTTCCTTTATCAGAAAGTTGTAGTCCCAAGAATCCAATCTGCTGAACAACCTTATTGACAGCAGAATCACTCTTAGAGTCAATTAAATCACCCAAGGCAGATGATTTTAGTATGAAATCTGCAACTGGTGCTTTGGCTACTTGGATGTGATTCTCCATTTGTAACTCAACTAATTCATTATATGTAGATCTTAACTGATAAAGCAAAGGAGAAATAACCTGGATATCTTTCTGAATATTTTCTATAACTTCCCTGGACACAGAAAAATCCCCTAGACTAACAGTGAAGCCTTCCGCAAAGATATTCTCCATCAATAAAGGCTGTAGAGAATCAAAGAAGTTAAGAACCTCTTTTGGACCCTTCTCAAAGAAAATAGATGCCGTGACCTCATTGATGACAGACTGCATGAGGTCCTTATTGAAATCAACTTTCAATATATCACTTTTGCCAATTAAGTATTTGTCACCAGAGCAGTCTAGGCAGGCAGGAAAAGCAGTCTGCAGAATTTGAAAAGCTGTCCAACAAGGAGCAACAAGATTACCCTTCCATAAAGCAGGCTGTGGCAAAGCTGAAGAGAGAAACATTGACAATTGTTGAGCATCAGCCTTTTTGAACAAAAATGTCTGAAGCATAACTCTCAGTGACAACAATGAATCAGTGGCCAACTGCAAATTCAGTTTGCCACTATGAGAGCTAAGCAACTGCTTCTCCACAGAAAAGAGCTCAAAAACTTCTGCTTTTGCAGGTAAAGACTGAGGGTAGAACAAGTGAATACAGTCTCCATCAAAATCAGCACTTAATGGGCCACAGATTAGAGGATTTATCTTCACCGTGTGATCATCATGCACATATACTGAAAGTGCCTGCAATGAATGCTTATGTGTGGTTGGGGGCCTATTTATGAAAACAATGTCCCCATCCATAATTCGCCGATGTACCACCTGACCAGGTCTCAAAAAGGTATGCCCCTTTGAACCCTCCCTCAATGAATATGTAGAAGAACCATCTCTGTAGGTCAAACACAACTTATTATCTACCAGATTTTGCAAATATCTCATGTTGTGCATGTTAACCCTCTCCTCGAAAGTAATTCTCTGAGCGATTTCAGATGGAATGCCAATTTCATTCACCTTTTTGTATGGATCACCAGTAATCACACTGCGTGAAGAGAATCCTGAACCCTTTCTAATGAACAATGTTCTCATTTTCTCCAGCCATGCCTTTGTTGAAGAATCACTAACATCTTTGCTAATTCCATATCGTGCATCTATATTGCGAGATGCTTTAACAGTACCCCTAACTTGAAGATATTGCTCAACTGCAGATTGCAAATCATTAGCTTCAACTTCATGAGATTCAAAATTTGGGGTGCCGGACCTTGAGCTTTTGATGATCTCAACTTGCTTCAGAACCTTTTTCAGCATTGCCGTAGAAAGATCCTGACAAAAAATAAAGATGTTTAACCACAGAAGATAAAACACCAACATGGTCCAACAAAAACATCAAGATAAGCAACCACATTTGTTCATACTACACTTACTGAGGACATGATGCTAACACCATCAGAAACATCTGGGACGGACAAACAATTAGGTGGAACAGGCAAATACCGCAAAATATATCCCTCCTGTGGGGAGAACCCTTTCCCAGAAAGCTTTCGTCTTGTCTCAGCAGGAATTCTTTTGAGTATTTCCATCACCTGTTAGTGATTTCAAACAAATAGAACTTAAACCTGAAACAATTGATAGTTCATCAAAGACAACATCAAAAAGATGTTCATATGACCACCTAGAAAATGTTTCAGGAAACCTAATGCTTTCCTGATGGTACTTGTTCTAGATATGGTAAAAATTCAGAATTCAACCAACAAATCAACAAATCAGACCAGCCTGTATTCAGGAGCTAATAATGATTTAAATCAGATGCATTTGGGTATATTTCAGAGACTAATAAAATAACTAAAAAACCAAGTGGCGGATGCTTGAAACCAATGGAAATGAACAACTAATCAGCAAAACTTGAATGCACTACTGTCTGCTTTAAAAGACTACCACTAAACTGAACTTTATGATACTGTGAGACAACACTTATTTACAACTGTTTGTAATCTTGTAATATATATATATATATATATATATATTTATATTTGTATCTTTAGAATTAAATATTTATATCCCCAAAATTAAGGACAAAAAATTAGGATAGATAATCCCTCAATTACAGGATCAGTTTTAGGAAGATTTTCCTAGTTTACCCACTAGTTATTTGTATGTAAACCTAAGGTGCTTATATAATTCTTTATAAGCAGTTTTTTCAATATACATTCAATTTTACTCAAAGTTTTTCACAGTTTTATTTCTTGGTTTTTTCACATGGTATCAAAGCTTTAGGCTCTTCTTGGGAAGAAAATTTTTTCAACCTTCATTGCTGAATTCTATTTTAGGTTTTCATATCCAAATCCTGTTAAATCTTTCAATCTTATTTTTTTCTTTCTTTGGCCTTCATTGCCCAGAAACATCTTTGGTTAAACCTTTACTATCAAGACTTGTTTTAGTCTTGTGAAAGATAACCATGCCAAAGATTGCAGAATCTGCCATTACTACCCGATTTGAGGAAATGACAACTAGTAAAAACATTGAAGCACTACAGAAGTCTCAAGAACAAAGAAAGTTGGATAGAGAAGAGATTGAGAAACTAAGAAGCCTACTCAAAGCTCTTGAAAAGCCTACTGGGATATGTTCTTTGGGTAAAGTCTCTAGTTCAGATAAAACTTCTGGTTCTCATGGATTAAATGTCTCTGTTAAGCCTATTACAAGTTTTTGGGTCATTGACTTAAGAGCCACAGACCATATGACACATTCTTCACAGAAGTTTAGTACATATACCCTATGTCCTAATAATAAGAAAATTGTTGTTGCAAATGGTTCACTTACTATAGTAGCAGAATTAGGAGAAGTTCAAATTAATCCCTCGTTTGTTCTTAAAAATGTTCTTCATGTTCTTGGATTGTCTACTAATCTGATATATATACAAAAACTTACCAAAGATATGAATTGCAAAATGACTTTTTATCCCTCATATTATGAATTTCAGGACCAAAGTTCGGGGAAGAGGATTGGATTTGCTAAGGAGAAGGATGGAATATACTATCTTGAAACATCAAATAACACAAGTAATATCAAGAATAGTTTACCTTTGTCATTTCTTTCTAAAAATCTCCCAATAAAGACAAAATTTGGCTTCATCATTTTTGTCTTGGACATCCTTCTTTTGGAACTTTGAAAAACATGTTTTCTTCTTTGTTCAAAGGATTAAATGCTAAAATTTTTCATTGTGATATTTGTTAACTTGCAATGCATAGACACGTCTTTTCCTGTTAGCAATAAAAGAAGTTCTACTCCTTTTTACTTGATTCATAGTAACATATGAGGTCCCTCTACAATTCCTAATATTTCTAGTGTAAGGTGGTTTGCTTCTTTCATAAATAATTGTACTAGGGTCTCTTAGATATTTTTACTTAAATCCAAATCAGATGTGAATAGTGTGTTTTTAAGCTTCCAAAACATGATCCAAAATCAATTTGAAGTGAAAATCAAAAGATTTAGATCTAATAATGCAAGAGACTATTTCAGAAAGAGTTTACCTATTTTCAAAAGGAGGGGATTATCCATGAGTCATCTCGTGTTAATACTCCACAACAGAATGGAGCGGTAGAAAAGAAAAACAGTCATTTACTAGCCACAACCCACGCTTTACTTTTTCAATCAAATGTACCAACATCCTACTAGGGGAAACCTGTTCTCACTACCACACATATTATAAATAGGTTATCTTCAAGGGTTTGGGATTTAAAACTCCCATGGAACTACTCTCACAATTCTATCCCAACTTTAATATTACAAACAACCTCACACCTAGGATATTTGGTTGCACATCATTTGTTCATGTTCACAGTCATAATAAGGGAAAGTTAGATCCTAGAGCAATTAAGTGCATTTTTGTGGGGTATTCATCGACTTAGAAAGGGTATAAGTGCTATCATCCTCCTACCAAAAAATTCTATGTGTCTATAGATGTCACTTTCGAAAAAAGTAAACCATTTTTTACTCAACCTTATCTTCAGAGGGAGACTTCATTCGTGGAAGATAAGGATAAAAACTTCTTTTTGCTTGATTTGCCCTCCTCTTCAACATTTTCACCTATTAATTCTTCTGAGTCGAAACCTGTTTATTCTGAGTCCAAGTTAAACACTGAATTTAAGTCTAAACCCATTCCAAACACAGATGACGTGACAAAGGATAATATTGTTCTTGATTTTATGAAGGAATTATAGGTGTACTCAAAAAGAAAAGTTTCGGAGCCTGAACCAACGCAATTCCAAGAACCTAATCCTAACTCAGGAAATGAGGTAACTACAATCTTTGACTCTGTTTCTCGAAATGAGCATGAATCTCCTAAAACTATAACTAGTGATTATGATCTGCCTATTGCCATTAGGAAAGGAACCAAAGAATGTACTAAGCATCCACTATACCCGATCTCTAATTTTGTGTCATTTGAAAAATTCTCACCATCCCACAAGAATTTTCTTGTGAGCCTAAACACTATTTCTATTCCAAGTACATTATCCAAGGCATTATCCAGTGAGAAATGGAGGCAAGCCATGAAAATAGAAATGGAGCCTTAGAGAAAAATAAGACATCAAAACTGGTAGAGTTGCCTAAAGGAAAAAATCCAGTTGGGTGTAAATGGGTTTTTGTGAGAAAACACTTATTTACAACTGGTTGTAATCTTATAATTTGTATATTTATATTTGTATCCCTAGAATTAACGACAAAAAATTAGGATAAACAATCCCTCAATTATATGATCAATTTTTAGGAAGATTTAGTTCCTTAGTTTAACCCATAATTAGTTGTATATAAACCTAAGGTTCTTGTATAATTCTTAATGAACAGTTTTTAAATATACATTCAGTTTTACTCTTAGTTTTTCACAGTTTTATTTCTTAGTTTTTCCACATGGTATCAAAGCTTTAGGCTCTTTTTGGAAAACAAAATTTTCAGCCTTCATTGTTGACTTCTATTTTAGGCCTTCATTACCGAACCCTATTTAAGCCTTCATTATCGAACCCAATTAAGGCCTTCATAGCCATTCTATTTTTCCCTTCTTTAGCCTTCATTGCTAAGAGTCATTTCTGGTTATATCTTAAGACTTGTTTCAGCTCAAAGAAAGAAATCACTACCACCCAATTTGAAGAAATGTCAACTGAAAAAATCACTGAAATACTACAGATGTCTCAAAAACAAGGAGACTTGGACAAAGAATAGATTGAAAAGTTGAGAAACCTATTGAAAACCCTTGAAAAGTCTATTGTGGTATGTTCCTTGAGAAAAATCTCTAGTTCAATTAAAACTTCCGGTTCTCATGGATTAATTATCTCAGTTAAGCCTATTATGAGTTTTGGGGTCATTGACTCAGGAGCCACAGACCATATGACACATTCCTCACAGAAGTTTACTACATATACCCTGTGTCCTAATAATAAGAAAATTGTTGTTGCAGATGGTTCACTTACTACAGTGGCAGGATTAGGAGATGTCCAAATTAATCCCTCGTTTGTTCTTAAAAATGTTCTTCATGTTCTTGGATTGTTTACTAATATGATATCTATACAAAAACTTACCAGAGATATTAACTGTAAAGTGACTTTTTATCCCTCTTATTGTGAATTTCAGGACCAGAATTCGGGGAAGAAGATTGGACTTGCTAAGGAGAAGGATAGACTATACTATCTTGAGACATCAAACAATACAAGTAATATCAAGAATAGTTTACCTTTGTCATTTCTTTCTGAAAAATCTTTCAATAAACACAAAATCTGACTTTATCATTTTCGTCTTGGACACCCTTCTTTTGGAACTTTGAAAAACATGTTTCCTTCTTTGTTCAAAGGATTAAATGTCGAATATTTTCATTGTGATGTTTGTGAATTTGCAAAGCACAGACGTGTCTTTTCCAATTAGTAACAAAAAAAGTTCTACTCCCTTTTACTTGATTCATAGTGACATTTGGGGTCACTCTACAATTCCTAATATTTCTGGTGCAAGATAGTTTATTTCATTCATAGATGATTGTACCAAGGTCTCTTGGGTTTTTTTTACTTAAATCCAAATCAAATGTGAATAGTGTGTTTTTAAGCTTCCAAAACATGATCCAAAATCAATTTGGAGTGAGAATCAAGAGATTTAGGTCTGATAATGCAAGAGACTATTTCAACCAGAGTCTATCCACCTATTTTCAAAAGGAGAGGATTATCCATGAGTCATCTTGTATTAATACTCCACAGCATAATGGAGTGGTAAAGAGGAAAAACAATCATTTACTAGCCACAACTTGAGCCTTCCTTTTTCAAGCAAATGTACCCAAATCTTACCGAGGGAAAGTTGTTCTCATTGTCACACACATTATAAATAGGTTACTTTCAGGAGTTTTGGGATTTAAAACTTCTATGGAACTACCTTACAATTCTATCCCAACCTTAATACCACAAACAACCTCACACTTAGGATATTTGATTGTACATCATTTGTTCATGTTCACAATCATAATAGGGAAAAGTTGGATTCAAGAGCAATTAAGTGTATCTTTGTGGGGTATTCATTAACTCAAAAAGGGTATAAGTGCTATCATCCTCCTACCAAAAAATTCTATGTGTCAGAAAATGTCACTTTTAACGAAAGTAAACCATTTTTTACTCAACCTTATCTTCAGGGGGAGACTTCATTCATGGAAGATAAGGATAAAGGCTTCTTTTTGCTTGATTTTTCCTCTTCTTTAACATTTTCACCCATTAATTCTTCTAAGTCAAAACCTGTTTCTACTGAGCCCAAGTCAAACACTGAATTTGAGTCTAAACACATTCCAAACACAGAAGATATGACAGGATAATATCGTTCTTGATTCTATGAAGGAATTATAAGTGTACTCAAAAAGGAAAGTTCCAAATCCTGAACCAATGCCAGTCCAAGAACCTGATCCTAACTCTGGAAATGAGGTAACTACAATTTTTTACTCTATTTCTCAAAATGAGCATGAATCTCCTAAAACTATAACTATTGATTATGATCTGCTTATTGCCATTAGGAAAGGAACCAGAGAATGTACTACGCATCCACTATACCCAATCTCTAATTTTGTGTCATTTAAAAAATTTTCACCATCCCACAAAAATTTTCTTGTGAGCCTAAACGTTATTTTTGTTTCAATTACATTATCCGAGGCATTATCCAGTGAGAAATTGAGGCAAGCCATGAAAATATAAATGGAGGCCTTAGAGAAAAATAAGACATGGGAACCGATAGAGTTGCCTAAAGGAAAAAATCCAGTGGGGTGTAAATGGATTTTCACTGTAAAATACAAAGCGAATGGTACTGTTGAAAGGTATAAAGCCAGGTTAGTGGCTAAGGGTTACACTCAAACATATGGAATGGATTATCAGCAAACCTTTGCTCCAATTGCCAAGATGAATACAGTTAAGATTTTGTTATCATTGGCTACAAATTACAATTGGCAACTTCAACAATTTGATGTAAAGAATGCTTTTCTACATAATGATTTGGAAGAAGAAAAATATATGAAAGTTCCACCAAGATTTAGAGGTCAAGCAAACAAAGTATGCAAGCCGAAAAAGGCTTTATATGGCCTTAAACAATCTCCTAGGGCTTGGTTCGGGAGATTTGCCAAAGTGATGCTAGCAATGGGAAATAAACAGAGTCAAGGAACTCACACATTATTTATCAAGCATTCTAATTCAGGGAGAGTCACAGTTCTATTAGTATATGTTGATGATATAATTATAACTGAAGATGATGAAAAAGAGAGAGAATCTCTAAAACAGTGTTTGGCTAGAGAATTTGAGATAAAAGAGCTAGGGAGATTAAAGTACTCCCTAGGAATTGAAGTAGCTCACCCACGGAATGGTATTTTTATCTGACAACAAAAATATATGATGGCTCTTCTGAAGAAAACTGGGAAGCTCGCATATAAACCTGCAAATACCCTTATAGATCCTAATCATAAAATTGGAGAAGCTAATGAAAATGCTGCTATAGATAGAGAGATGTACCAAAGATTAGTTGAAAGACTCATTTATCTCTCACATACTAGACCTAATATAGCACATGCTGTGAGTGTGGTAAGTCAATTTATACATAATCCTAAAGAAGTGCACCTACAGACTGTCTACCATATGTTACACTATTTGAAGGCCAATCCTGGAAAACGTATTTTATTCAAAAGAAATTCAGGGCTAGTTCTAGAAGCATATACAGATGATTATACAGGTTCAATAATTGAAAGAAGATCCACCTCAAGCTACTGCACTTTCTTAAGCGGTAATCTTGTGACTTGAAGGAGTAAAAAACAGAATGTGGTGGCATGATCAAGCGCTGAAGTAGAGTTCAAAGCAATGGCTCAAGGAATTTGTGAACTACTATGGTTAAAGATTATCCTAAGAGACTTGAAGATCAAATGAGATGGACTAATGAGACTCTACTGTGACAACAAGTCTACAATAAACATTGCACACAATCTTATGCAACATGACGAACAAAACACATTGAAGTAGATCGATATTTTATAAAGGAGAAACTAGACAGTGGGTTGATTTGTACACCTTATGCATCAACCAATGGTCAACTTGCAGACATGTTGACTAAAGGTCTTAATTGTGCAACATTTTAAGAAATTATTTCCAAGCTGGGAATGGAAAACACCTATTCACCAACTTGAAGGAGAGTGTGGGAAAACACTTATTTACAGTTGGTTGTAATCTTATAATCTGTATATTTATATTTGTATCTCTAGAATTAAGTATTTGTATCCCTAGAATTAAGGACAAAAAATTATGATAGACAATCCCTCAATTATAGGATCAATTTTAGGAAGATTTAGTTTCCTAGTTTACCCACTAGTTAGTTGTATATAAACCTAAGGTGCTTATATAATTCTTTATGAGCAGTTTTTCAATATACATTCAGTTTTACTCTTAGTTTTCCATACAGTTTTATTTCCTGGTTTTTCCACAAATACTAATACAAGCACATGCATGTCTAGATGCTTAATCACGTATTCTGTTGCAGTAAGATAAAGAAAAAGAAATCAGATATGTAAAGCTCAAAACAAAACAACAAAATCACAACAAAAATAGGGGAAAAAAGAAGAAAAAAGTGAATCGCTTGTAATGACTTATCAAATCTCAACAAACAAGAACAAAATGAAAGCCTAGGTCAAACACCAAATGATGAGTAAAGTTGAAGCCAAACCTCACAAGGCAGCAAAGTTCGAGTATGATGGTCACCATAGCGGAAACCGTATCTCTCTAAAAAATTCCAGTTAGGTTTTGCATGTCTAGATGGCTGCTTCAACTCCAAATAACAAGCACCATCTGTTGTTTTAACCTCTTTGATTGAAATTTGCGGAGCATTCTATGAAGATCAAAAGAAAAAAGAATAAGAAAACAAAAGAATAACACCCTCCAACTGAAATTACAGAAAACAAGTTCATAAATAAATTATTCCATTTTTCGGCCTACAATCCACCAGTTGCTCACCAAATACACAAGGACAACTTGCTCTAAGTAGAAGGGTCAAATTAATACCAAGAAATATTTCTTATTTAACAATCACGATTGTTGTAATTAAATTAAAATTGATTATCATATTCCCACTATTTTGCCTCTCTTTCATTTGAGCCGGTAGGCTCCAAAACAACCCCCTCCCATCCTTCATGACCATACAGTTTATCAGGGAGAGAGAAGAATGTGTGTGAGGGCATGCGCACAAGCTTGATAGAGAGAACTTGTTTAAGAAGGATATAAAATATAGTAAACATCATCAAAAATGATAAACTGCAATTAGTTAGCACCATGTACTGCAAATCAAACAAGCAAAAAATGTTAGGCACTTCAAACTCACCTCACAACAGGATGCTAACAATCTTTCAGCAACACTGCCACTTTTAATCTGAAACTGAAAGGTACAGACCAGTAACTACCAAGCATGTAAATACATCAGCAGATTCAGCAGAATGCTATTTCGTAAGAAGTAAAGAATTAAGAATCCAACCTTTCACCAATAATGTTTCATGAAAAAATAAGTAATATGATAATATAAAAACCACAGCATATGCAAAGAGTTCAGTTCCAAATTTGCTAGAGGAGAAATCAAGTTATGTCTAGAAACTTCCACATGATTAAACATTTTTTTTAAAAACTGACACTCTTTAGTAGTTTATAACTTTACACACTGCCTCACAATTTAAGCAAATATAACAGGATGGCATAAGTTAAACAAAGGAAAATCAGACAAAGTGCTGATATTAGTTCTATACAGAAAACAAATAGGTAAAATGGAGGAAGAAAAAGTAACTTCACTTCGAAAGAAATAAGGGATGGTAAATCTATGTACTCTTATTACTCACAAGCATTTGGGAGAGCCATTTACCAAGGAGCAGAGGGAGAAAATAAAGAAACCTTACATCATTTTGATTAACTGGGATGATTTTAATTTTGTTTTAGCTCAAACAAGTGAGCCATTCTTGGTATTACTTTACTTTGAAGGGATGAATTCTTACTTTTAAAACTTTGAAGTTGTTCCTGCAGTCAGTAAGGTACCAATATATATGACATTCTTATAAGAGTCAACCATTGTTGATTGTGATATTTCTCTTTTTAATGAGCTTCTCGATTCATAATTTTCTAAACAGTTTTAGACGTAAGGAGTATAAATCCTAGAAGGTTTAAACCCCAACATCCCACAATTTACGTCTCGTCCTAATGGATCATGGAACACTGTGATTTATGCTTCAACCTAAAAAACTATGCATCATGTGACAAAAAAACACGTAAACTTTTCATCTTCCTCAATTAATGCAAAAGAGGCCAAGAGAGATCAGAGTCTCCTTCTTGTACATGGAGACTCTAAAACAAGATCATCTACAATGGATAATGCAATAGTTGATTAGCTAGTACCTTGTTCTTCATTTTTAAGCACTTCAAGCATAGCAAACTCAACAATCGCTTTAATTCACTGATATGGCTCGGATGATATATTGGAATTGGTAATTCAATATATCCAAAATGACCTGAAAGCAACAACATAAATGAAAAGTTTGGCTTTTTGAAAATATTCTCAATGGCATTATCTTCCTTCATTAAAAATACTTTTCTTTTTTTTCACATTTTCAACTTTTATACACTACAAGGATAGAAGTAAAAACTCACACACCTTCGCATTTTCCAGGTTCAGAAGTACCACATGCATTACATTTTCCAAATTCGAGGGGCAAACCAAGGTAGGAATTTGAGAACTGACTATGATGGTTAATAGGAAAGCCACTGACGGATGCTGTAAGCTGCAAATAAATTTTAGAAGATGGAGAAAGTCAATTAGCATCAGAGAATGAACTAATGCACAACAAATCAGAGAATTTATTCCACTATTAACAATATTAATTTTAGGGTAAAACTTGCTAGATGATAGCCCCTGGTGAATCAAAAGTGGTTATCATAGAAAACACGGATGGTGAATCATTCCATTTCCCCAGTGTAGATGCTAAAACTACTTCCAAGAAGCACAAATAAGTACCAGAGATAAACTCCACAGCAGGAACCAAGATGGAAGAGGGAGGGGGAGGGGGCAGTAAAATAAGTAGACCATCGAAAAATCACATGTTGTAATCATTCAAATGACAACAGACAAAGGGCAAAGATTATTGCTATAATGAAACAAGCTAATGAACAACTAAATGAAAAAAGACAGATTTCAACTTACAATTTCTTTATGACTTGCCAAGCCGAACCTTATGCGATTTATCTCAGCATCTGAAATAATAGGTGAAGAATTTTCCTCCATATCTCTTGCTTTAAACTGTAAGACAAAACTATGCAAAGAAACAATCATTTAAGTATCAAATGGAGAAAGATAATGAAAAGGAGCACGAGATGGAAAAAAGCCTATGCTAGCAATAATAAAACCTTCAAATGCTTTTCAGTTCAGTTGGATGTCACATGGTAATCCTAGATATAAGTTTAAGGACAACATTATTTGTTTTACAAATCCACCTCAGTTTAGGGTTGTACATGTGCAACCTCAGCCTATTCAGTCACATGCTACCATATCAACTGTATAAATCAGAGCAGAGAAAAAGTGCTAAATATGAGTTTGCAGGTTCTCCACGGATAACATTTAGTTACACGCATGACAGAAAGCAACAAGAGGGGAAAATCCAGCATACAGTACAAGAAAAGAAAGTGTTTGTTCAAAGTAGGTAGGTCAGTCATGCAACTGATCTTTTTCCAAAAAGGCATGTAGTACAGTAATTAAAACATATTAATTTTTTCAAGAGAAAAATTTTTTTTTATTTATTCCACTCACCAACTAATAAAATAAACAGAACTATGATTTATCTAATAATACAAATAATCCTAATTGTAAGGGGACTCAAACACTAACCATTTCAAGCCCATGAAGCATGTAAAATCATGAAACAATAGCTAGATTTTTTTTTTACTATATTTAGTTTTTCCATTAAATGAAACAAAATGATGAAAATCAACAGCCAAAAATAAGGATTTTAGCTAGCTAATTTCAAAAAGTCATCCTACCAAGAAAACAACAAAGAGAGAAAGGGTAAATTTTTCTTATATCTGGAATATAAAAAGGCTCACCTTTACTAAGGCCAAATAACCCTGACTAGACAAGGAACTCTAGTTACGTAGAAAGAGAGGCAAAGAAAATGCAAGACAAAATACATGCATGAATTATAAGGAAAATTAAAAACCAAACAGAAGCCGAAAGTTTTACATATATAATCCATGTTTTTTAGAGTTTCCATAGAACCAAGCCAACCAAAAACACAAATGGCTTAAATTCCTTCCATTTTTCTTTGTTTTTTTACTCCACATTCTCAACGAAGACCACATGCAAAAACTGCGTTTAACTAGAAATAAAAAGAGAAGGGTATAAGCCAAATTACCTCAAAAGTCTCTTCTTTTTAGTCTACCTCAATTAAATAACCCCGAAAAAAACAAAGAAACCCAGCACATGGGGTTTTGCAAACGAGTTAACAAAGAGTCTAAAAGTTGAAACTTTGCTTGGTTCCCAATAGAATGAAGAAAAGTTACAATGTCTAACATTTCCAGTAACAAACCAAAAAACAAATGAAAACTGAACTCAAAAATTGTAAAAACGCAGTTTTTTAAAAAAATTTAGGGAAAAAACAAATACCCAGAATTTAAAAATGTCATCTTTTTCCATTTTCTTCACCTTCACTTCACTTTCTAAGTACCCAAACATAAACAAAGTTCATAACTTTAAGCCCATGAGAATTAAAAAGAAATTACCTGAAATGTCTTTGTTTTCTTCTCGATTTTCTGAGACTGGTTTTTGAAACACTACAAAAAGCCCTAAAAACCCATAAAAAGGAGAGGAAACCAGACGGGTTTTCAATGTAGGAGTCAAAAATGATTTTAAAAAAAAAACCCAAACAGTCAATTTAATGGAATAAGGAAAGAGAAAAAAAATGTGCCCAAAAAAATTAATGAAAATAAAAATGTCTTCCCTTATTTTGTACCATTTCTCTTTCTCTTTCTCCCACTCACTGAGAAAGAAAGAGAGCAAAGAAATGAAAAAACAAAGCTTTGGAGAGTCAAATGAGGGGAAGCATACAGAAATTTATTTATTATTGTTTTTTTTTTTTTGGCTTCAAGGAATTTTGGCCTTTTTTGAGTTGTCGGTACGGTTCAGGCTTATTCGGAGGGTTTATTTTTCGGCTTATGAAATGACAATAATCGGCTTGCTTGCCTCGATTGGTTTGGTTTGTTTACCTTAAAAGTAAGGGTAAAATGGAAATTTTAAAGTGTACTTTGGAGGACGAAGCCTGAGCAACTGAGCCTTGGGACAGTAGAACCAACTTCTCGTGTCTATGGTGTTTTTTTTTTTACTTTTTAAATGTCACTTAATTATATCGTTAAAATTAATTAATTTAATCATAGTTAAAAGTTAAAATTACAATTATAAAAAATAAAACATTTATAATTCTCTAGGGCTCTTCTGCAATTTTTTTGTTATTTAATTTTCAAAATATATTCATAAATATGAGTTTTACAATTCATAAATAAATTTTATACGTATTTTCAGAAATTCGTTTAAAATTTAAGAGAATTTGAATATATGTTTATTAAATAGATTTAAATTTGAATTTTAAACCTTTTTAAAAATAAGATAATCTGTGGATAGATATTTAAAGTCCATGCTCAATCCGTCCTCGAATTCTCAACTTAAATAACTTTTAAATATTTTTATATTTCTAATTGTATTATATAAATATAAATAACTAAATAATATATGTATATATTAATATTTTATGTCTACATATATCAAAATCATCCAAATATCAAATTAAATTAATAAAGCTTTTTTAGCTTTATTTTTTATTATTTATTTTGTCAGTTAATATTTATCATGAATTTTATTTTTATTTCTTTGAAAAAATTTGAAACTAAATGGATCTGGGCGAGCTTGAATAGCTTCTCTTAAAAATGATATATGCCTAGGCATCAAGATAAGGCCCATATTTTGAGTCGAACCAAGTTTAGACAAGCTTGAAATTTATTAATATCATATTTAGATCCAACCTAAAAGCAATCTGACTCAATCCATAAACAAATCTAATATAAATGATAATAACACAAATATTAAAATAAATAGAGATTTGTTTCATCAAAAGCACATTTTTTTTAAAAATATCAGGCTAAGGTCTTATTTGGTTTTATAGAATAATTAATAGAATAAGATAATAATTATTTTATATTATATTTAATTTGTATCTAAAGAAAGAGAAAGAATTATAAGAATAATTAATCATCCTCTTGATACAAAATAATTCAATCCTCTCAAAATGAAGAAAATTATTTTTAATGCATAGGATTAAACTTATATGTCCTATTATACCTTTAAAAATTATATCAATAATTTAAATTATATAAACTTTAAGGAAAGATAATTTTGATCAATAAGTAAATTATCATATCCTAATGCTTGCACACATCAAACATAACATAGGATAACATTATTTAATCTAATCATATTCATAATATCATCCTATTTCATCCTACCATAATCTTATGTACCAAACACATCCTAAATGTTTAATTTGAGATCTACTGTTTTGATCAATTCTCAATTTAGGACATAACTTTTAATTTTACTCAAATAAAGACTAAACATTTTTGAATTAACTCAAATAAGGACTTTTTAATGACTATTGTACATATGCAAGTTAAATAGCATGATACACTAATTATTATGCCTTTGTGTCATATATTTGCAGAGACAACAAGTGCATTTCACTATAAAAATGACTTTTTTCTTTCGTTTTTTCCTTTTTATTCTCTCCCCAAATTCTTCTCCCATATCTCTCTAAATTATTCCAAACACCAGATCGTCAATTACCACTGTCGACTATCAACATCTGTTTCATCTCAAAATTTTATCACTTTTTTCTTTGAAATCTTTTATCACATCATCGGATCAAATTTTAATAAAATGCCTAAAAATCACTAGATTTAAAGCTAAATTAAGACATTTCGCCTTCTATCATCAACCAAAACCCAAAAATCATCATATTTCCTTTTTTCCCAATAGTGACAATGCCATTTTGTCCATGAATTCTTAACACAAAACTCTGAGCATCCTTTAAAATAAATTCAGAAATTGAATAGAAATCGGATTGAACATGACATTTTCTTTAAATTCATTAAACAATAAGTTAGAAGATTCAAAACGCAGGTATAAAATTGGGTACAAAGTGCAAGTAGCCCAAACATTCTAATATCCATCATCATAATCAAAATATAACAAGGTTTAAACTTTAAAAGTGAGTACTTTAATACTAATAATGCAAATAATAATTCAAAATTTTTTCTTCAAAACCCAAACTCAATTTTCAAGATTCCTTCTTATCCTATACCCAAATAAAAAGAACATAATCCTTTTTTAAAAAAAAACTTGGGAAGCATTATGATTTAAAAATAGGGCATTGGAATCCCAACCTCTTCTTTAAGGCTAAAATAATAAAATTGCCCTTAAATTTTATCACTTTATTTAGATAAACTCATAGACTTTTATTGTACCAAAATAAGTGCTTAACCTTTACTTTACAATCAGATAAGCCTTTAAACTTCTAATTTGTCTCCAAATAGGCTTTAGCCTTTAATTTGTTTCTAAATAAGCCATTCACATAAATCAATATTTATTTGAAAGTAAGGCTTACTTGGATACAAATCAAATAATAAATGTTTGTTTATGTACAATAAAAATATATGAGCTTATCTAAATAAAGTGGTAAAATTTAAGGGCTTTTTTAGTATTTTAGTCTTTTTTAAATAAAGCTCAACCGCTTTCAATATTTAAAGATTGTTGTTTTCTACCTTATGGGTATTTTTATAGATAAAAAGAGTGCTTAAAAAAATGTAGAAAAAATTTTCAATTTTGGAAAAGAATTAAAATTTTCCAAATTTGGAAAGCAAATTTTTTTTGTTGGGTTTATGTTTCTCCTCAACGATCACCATCATTCCACTGCCATTGCTACCTTTCCAATAACTTGTTTCCTTAAACAACCTTGATTAGTGGTAGAGAGATTAAAAGAAAGAAAAATAAAGAAATTAAAGTTAGATCTAGATGAGAATTTAAGTTATTTTCTATATTGTGTTTCTTGATGATGCAAAAGGATTTCGAGGAAGAAAGGAGTTTTTGTTTTTAAAATGAATTTTTGTTGAGTTAGGTTTTTTTGTTGATTTTAAAAAGAAGAGAAACTTCTAAATCTATAACTAATTTTTTTTTTATTTTGTAGTAGAAAAATCGAAGTATTTTTCAATGATAAAAATGAATCTAATGGCTAAATGTAACGTTAATGGCACATATAACTCACATTCATTAAAACATGTTGATTTAAGCACATTTGCAAATTTTTAATTTTTAATTTAGTCAAATCATATCATATAGATTTATAAAACTCAAATATTTTGTAATAAATGTCAAATATTTTACACAAATTCTAAACTTATATTTTTTAATTTTATTACATTAACACAATATACTTTTGGTTGCCTAACATTATATGAATTCTTAACTTTTGATTTTCTTCTATTTGTATTCTTTAAAGTCATTATTTGTTAAAATTTATTGAAACCTTTGGTTTGCTAGCATTTATGTTTTTGACTTTTAACTCTTTTATAACTTATGGTTTTCTATACTTTTTTTTTAAGGTGAAAGGGCTTTTAATTTTTTTATGACTTATGGTTTTTCATCTTTTTTTTAAGGATGAGAGGGTTATATAAATATATTTCATTTATGCCTTATATTTTCTTTTTGTATATAAATTGTTTCTATTATAAAAATTAAATATGATTATCAGATAATTGTTACAAATGATATGACTCATTTTATTGCTAATACCATCACAAAGAGATGCTTGATGAAGGTATAAATATTTCATGATTTTTTTTTTTGTTCATAAGTTATGATTGTTTTGATAAGAGTTCAGTTTATATAAATGCTTAGTAATTTTTTATACTTTTTTATGGATTTTGAGTTTTGTGATTTTTTTTAAAATAATTTTTTATTTCAAAATTTTTTCATTAAATGGTGATATTATATGTATAGATTTATTAATATTCAAACTTCCAATGATGATGTTTGTAAATTGTGTAATATTAAGGTTTCTATTTTTTTTATATTTTGGCAATATCATAAAAGCGATGATTTATGTTTAAAAAATGAACTTTTATTATTATTGAAAGTAAATATCATTTTAATCATCTTTTTTTTTTAACAAAAAAAATTTATAAGTATTCGTTTGTGGGATAAGTTTATTTCTAATTTTAAGATAAGCACTTAGTTTTAGGAAATAAACTTCAAATTGTTATACTTATTTCTTTGATAGCTAAGAGTTTTTTCAGATTAGTCAATGCATAAAAATTACAAAATGAATTTTGAGTTGTTATATTTATTTCTTTGATAGATAATCAATATCTTTTTTTTTATGATATTTTTACTCTTTTATTGGTTCCTAATTTTTTTTCATTGTGGTTATAATTTGATTTATTTAAAAATATTATAATTTTTGAATTAATAGTTTCTTTGTTAATTTTATTAAAAATTTTCTTAAGCTCGTGGTAGTATTTAAGTTATATTGTGTTTTTTACAATAAATCTTTCTACAAAATTAAATATTTCTTTTAATATTTTTTAATTTAAAAGTTAAAAATATAAATTTTTTTGTTATTTTAAAATACATATCTTAATC